TGGGCATTTATGGGAATGAAGCAACAGATGGAAGATCTATGACTCTCTGCCAGTGTCTGTCTCTGTGCCTTCAAATAATAAATAAACTACATGTTAATGTTAGTTCTCAGATATATGAACCCTCTAATATTAAGAAAGACGTGAATTCAATCAGAAGAGCAGTTTGCTTGTATAGACCAACAAATCAGTGGGAACAGAGAACAGAGCCTAGGAAATTGACGGGTGTGTAGAATTTGCTTCATGACAAAGACACATTTAAAATCAGATGATTCAATATGGTGTTGCTTCAGTTGCTAATCTAAGTTGGAGTCAAAGAAATCAACAGCTCTATTTAATGATATCTTGCAAACTGGGTCCTAAAACCAAAATAAAGCTTACACCATCTAGAAGAAATTGTAGGATAACTCTGTGTGTTTGTGTGTGTGTGTGTGTAATTTAAGAGTGACAGAATGAGAGATGTTCCATGTTTTGTTTTACTTACAAAATGGCTACAATAGCAGGGGCTGGGCCAAAGATGGGCCAGCAACTCCATCCACATCTCCCATATGGGTACAGGGGCTCAAGGAGTTGGTGCATCTACTGCCGATTTCCCAGGCAAGGAACTGGATGAGGTTTGAATCAGCTGAGACTCTTAGCTGGTTCTTGGAACGGGGATGCTGATGTTACAGGCAGCTTAACCTGATGCACTGCCATACCAGCAATAGGAAGAATTGGAAAAACTCAGTGACTAATGGTATTTAAGGGGTAAGGAATATTTTTCTGCCAAGAGCCATTTGGATAGGTACAATGTCATTTGTGGACCATACAAAATTAATCATTTAAAAATTGCCTGCTATAGAGTTACTGAACTTTGAGTTCTACCTGTAGTCCTGTATTGCGTGCTAATTTCCTGCTCAACTTTATCACATTCTGATTCTAACTTTGAGCAAACTATATAATCTTTCTGTGCTTGTCTTCTCATTTTTTAAAAAAGATTTATTTTATTTTTATTGCAAAGTCAGATATACAGAGAGCAGGAGAGAGAGAGAGAGGAAGATATTCTGTCCAATGATTCACTCCCCAAGTGACAGCAGCAGCTGGTGCTGTGCTGATCTGAAGCCAGGAGCCAGGAACTTCTTTCCAGGTCTTCCAAGTGGGTGCAGGATCCCAAAGGCCGTCCTCGACTGCTTTCCCAGGCCACAGACATGGAGCTGGATAGAGAGCAGAGATGCTGGGATTAGAATTGGCGCCCATGTGGGATTCTGGCACGTTCAAGGCGAAGACTTTACGTGCTAGGCCACCGCGCCAGGCCTTCATCTTTTTAAAGATTCATTTATTTTTATTGATAGATTTTACACAGAGAGGAGAGACCCACAGAGAGTTCTTTCATCTGTTGGTTTGTTCCCCAAATGGCTGCCATGGCCGGCGCAAAGCTGATCTGAAGCTGGGAGCTGGGAATCTCTTCCTGGCCTCCAACTTGAGTGCTACAAGCCAAGGTCTCAGGTCATCCATCCTCCATTGGTTTCCTGGGTCACAAGCAGAGAGCTGGATCTGAAATGGAGCAGCCAGAGCACAAACTGGAACCCATATGGGAAATTTTGTGAATATGAATTGATATGTGAAATGCTTAGCAACATGAGTATAAATAAGCATGTGTTAAGGGTGAACTACTAGAAGTTCCTAATGTTTCTACCAAAAAAAGAAGCATAAGTGATTAAAGATCATTATACTTGACTATTGGGAAATACATAGTACTAGACATTGCAAAATAGAAAAACAAGGCATTTATTGGTAGAAGGTACTTGTTGTACTTGGCTGAAAACTGATCAATATCTAGGATACTTGTTCACAGTAGCAAGAGAAAGACAATGGGTGAGCTATGCCTAAATGACAGTTACATTTACCTAATCCTCAGCAGTCATCAGAGATGTAAAGCCGTGGGATATCATTTTTAAAAAATGTTCTTTGTATTTATTTATTTAATTGGAAAGTCAGATTTCCAGAGAGAGGGAGATACAGAGAGGAAGATCTTCTATCTGCTGGTTCACTCCCCAAGTGGCCGCACTGGCTAGAGCTGAGCCAGCCCGAAACCAAGAGCCAGGAGCCTCCTCTGGAACTCCCACACAGATGCAAGATCTCAAAGCCCTGGGTCGTCCTCTGCTGCTTTCCCAGGCCACAAGCTGGATGTGGAAGGGAAGTGGAGCAACTGGGACATGAACTGGTAGCCTGATGAGATTCCCGATGCATGCAAGGCAAGGACTTTACCCACTAGGCTACTGTGTTGGGCCCAAAGTCATGGGATATGATTTTATAGAACAGATTGTCAGAAACCCAATTCTGACAAGATTGGGTTTTGGTATGGAGTGAGAAGAATCTGAATTTTTGTAATCTGGTTGTAAAATATTCATTTGGAACAGCCATGTGGAGAATAGTTTGTTAATAGGTGGTCATGTTGGAGATAACCTAGATATGGCATCTTCCTTATAGGAATAAAACCAAAAGAAATTTTGGAAAAGGCACATGGAGAAACAGGTGTGATATTTGTGGCGTGGTTTTAGTGTGTAGCTTTGGGAATCGGGCAGTGTTCTGTAGAAGGGCACGTGGGTTGTTGTGTTCTAGAGTCATACAGTGAGCAGTATTCAACAGTTACAGGTGGGCCCGGCGCAGTGGCCTGGTGCCTAAAGTCCTCGCCTTGAATGCACCGGGATCCCATACGGGCGCTGGTTCTAACCCCGGCAGTCCCGCTTCCCATCCAGCTCCGTGCTTGTGGCCTGGGAAAGCAGTGGAGGACGGCCCAAAGCCTTGGGACCCTGCACCTGCATGGGAGACTTGGAAGAGGATCTGAGCTCCTGGCTTCGCATCATTGCAGCACCGGCCGTTGTAGTCACTTGGGGAGTGAATCATCAGATGGAATATCTTCCGCTCTGTCTCTCCTCTTCTCTGTACATGTGACTTTGCAATAAAAATAAATAAATCTTAAAAAAAAAAAAACAGTTACAGCTTATATCAGCATTCCTCATCAGGAAAAACATAGTGTTCTCCCATGTTTTTAAATTCTGAAAAAGCGATATAGTAATGTAAATTTTCTATAGAGATTTTCACAGATAGTGAAATTATGAACATGTATATGGAACTTCAGGGTAGTGGTTCTCTCTGCAGAGCCAAGAAAGGAGCTGCAGGTGTGTTTCTCGTACTTGAGTCATTCATAAAATGAGACTAAGAGGAAAGATATGTAACTGTGTGTGTGTTCTCTAATACTGTTTGAGAATTGTCAAGTATAAGGGTAAAACAAAATTTCTTGATTGGAGGATCTTGAAAATGAGTGGTAGGGTAGAATAGAAGTATCTTAAAGTGTTTTCCGTATTTTTCAAGAAGTACTACATCATCTTTATATGTTAAAGGGTGATATTAGTGTAAAGGGAAGAATTGCCAATACACAGGAGTGACTTTTTATGGGTCAGATTGCTAATAGACATGGTAAGAAATCAGTGTTACGGGCCTTAGAAAGGCTGTGGGACATGTCTTCTCTATTGGCAGGCACTGAGGAATAGAGATGGGATTAAAGCAGGACCAAATATTGTCATGGAGAAACCATTACATAGAAGGAAATTCCTGTTTTTAGGTGAGGTGTGAAAAACGAGTATATGAGGGTTGAGGAAATTGGAGGAATATATATAGTACTTGTAAGGGGTGAAGTTAGAGCAGCATTGAGTAAAGACATGGTGTCTACTTGAGTATTCTTTTGTCATCTTTGCTCAGCAAATCCAGGGCAGGCTGTTTCTGCTGCTCTTATCCAAAACCCAGCTCTTCCCCACCTTCAAGGAGGTGGAGAGCCAGAGGCCAGAGTTCATTGGAAAGGCCTCTTATCTGTAGAGCAGATTTATCTCTATCTTTTTTGTCACACCTTTATCTAATTTAAATTTATGTTTGTCTTATCTTAGTTTTGAATGAATTTCATAAAAATTTGTTCCAGGGCCTGGCACACTGGCTAAATCCTCACCTTGTAAGCGCTGGGGTCCCACATGGGCACTGATTTGTGTCTCAGCTGCTCCACTTCCCATCCAACTCCGTGCTTGTGGCCTGGGAAAGCAGTGGAGGATGGCCCAGGGCTTTGGAACCCTGCACCTGTGTGGGAGACCCGGAAGAAGTTCCTGGCTCCTGGCTTCGGATCATCTCAGCTCTAGCCATTGTGGTCACTTGGGGAGTGAACCAATGGATGGAGATCTTTGTGTCTTCTCTCTCTGTATCTGCCTTTCTAATAAAAATAAATCTGCGAACATTTTTTCACTGATGGCATTGTGCTTTTTTTAAAGGATTTACTATTTTTATTGGAAATGGCAAATTTATATATAGAGAAGAAGAAACAGAAATTTCCGATTCACTGGTTTATTTTCCAAATAGTCACAATGGCTGAAGCTGCGCCAATCTAAAGTCCGGAGCCTGGAGCTTCTTCTGTGAATCCCATGCATGAGCAGGTGTCCAAGGGCTTGGGTCATTCTCTACTGCTCTCCTACTCCATAAGCAGGGAGCTGGATCACAGGTGGAGCAGCTGGGACTCGGTCCCACAGGTGGAGGTTTAGCATGCTATGCTACTGCACTGGCCCCTCTGATTTTTTTTTAAGAAGTCTTAGTTGTAAAGCAGTTAAGTTTGTTTGACTGTGCTGTCCATTTTTGTAATCAAGTCTTTAGTGAGGTTCTTCAAATGTATAAAGCATGGTTCTAATCGGAAGTACTTTGAAACATCTGTGGTTGCAGAGGAAAAACAATTTGTGTTCTTTGGCTTAGGCCTTGCTAATACAAACACTGAAATATATTTTTTGGTAAGTTGTTATTTTGGAAATTTCCTCGATTTGGACAGTAAGCCTTAATATTCGGTCTCAGATGGTTTCCATTATTATTTCTATTCCAAAAGCTAGAATCTTGTATTCTGCAGGATGGAATCAGTGTGTTTTCTTTCTTTTTTGAACGCTAGGAAGCAGTGTGCCATGCGACTAATAAATGTTTGCCTCCTCTTGTTGCAGCTGGTGGGCTGAGAAGATGGTCTGCGCCGTCCTGAAGACACTCGGTCCGTTCTGATGGGACTGAGTCCAATATGAGTGGGAGTGATGGAGGGAGACGACGCCTGGAGGACAGTGAGCACACACTACGGATCTATCCTGGCACGATTGCGGAAGGCACCATCTACTGCCCGGTCCCCGCTCGGAAGAGCTCTACAGCTGCTGAGGTGATTGACTGTCTTATAGACAGACTTCATCTGGACAAAACAAAATGTTACGTTCTAGCAGAGGTAAAGGAATTTGGTGGAGAAGAATGGATACTCAATCCAACAGACTGTCCAGTCCAGCGAATGATGTTGTGGCCTCGCTTGGCTCTGGAAAATCGCTTGAGTGGAGAGGACTATCGCTTCCTTCTGAGAGAGAAAAACCTCGACGGGTCGATCCACTACGGTAGCCTGCAGTCATGGCTGCGGGTGACGGAGGAGCGGCGCAGGCTGGTGGAGCGGGGTTTTCTGCCACAGCCACAGCAGAAGGAGTTTGATGACTTGTGCAGTTTACCCGATCTGAACGAGAAAACTCTATTAGAAAATCTGCGGAATCGCTTTAAGCATGAAAAAATTTATACCTATGTTGGCAGTATTCTGATAGTTATTAATCCCTTCAAGTTTCTTCCTATTTATAACCCCAAATATGTCAAAATGTACGATAACCACCAGTTGGGCAAGCTTGAGCCACACATTTATGCGGTGGCGGATGTAGCTTACCATGCCATGCTCCAGCGCAGGAGGAACCAGTGCATTGTGATTTCAGGAGAGAGTGGTTCTGGGAAGACCCAAAGCACGAACTTCCTTATTCACCACCTGACTGCTCTCAGCCAGAAAGGGTTTGCAAGTGGAGTAGAACAAATCATTCTTGGGGCTGGACCAGTGCTGGAGGTAAGGACATCGAACTATTTTTCTTTTCCTTAAACATAATCTTAAAATTTTTAATTTTTAATATTGTTTACATAGCTGATTGGAATGCGTATGTGGATCTCTAATTAGGGTAGGGAGGGTCTAAGTGTGAAAGAAGGTGGATGGGGCAAATCGTTTTCTTGTTTTGCTCCTGAGTCTGCTGGGAGGCAAGGGGAGTTAGCTGACTGCTCTTTGCTGTCAAACTGTATCAGATCCCAGGGGTGGGGGCGGTCCTTGGATGACGCCAAAGAGACACTGATGTGGGAAGAGAGTGTTATGAGGGTATTATTTGAGTAGTTTTGATCGTTCTGAGATGTCATTGGCTTCTCTGGGACTGGGGTTGAGGAAATCTTTCCAAGGTCTGTTGGCCGACCAAGTCCACCTTAGTGCATCCACAGATCCAGATGCACTGGCTGCAAAGCTTAGGAGAGTTGTCCAGCCTTTTCTGCCTTCCAAGCTCTGATGGGACACTTGATGTTTTTCAGCTGTCATGTTCTCTGTGTGCATCTGGGTATGTTGTCCACTTCACAGATATCAAGCAATTGAGGAGGCCCAGTCCTGACACAAGCACTCCAAGATCAAACCACGTATATCGTGTGATTTTCCTTGTGGCTGGGTTTTTTTTTTTTTTTTTTTTACATTTCTATTATTATCATGTTATGATACAGTTCCATAGGCTCCTGTTATTTCCCTTATCCCAGCCCCAATCTCCCCACCCTACCTAGTTGCTCTATATCATTAATAAAGTATAGTTCTTCATACACGGTCATATGTTCATCATTGTGGGTGTGGACAATGGCAAAGAGTTCAGCATCTTATTTTCAAGATACAGTAAACAGTTTCATTGTAAGTCCATCTTTGTCTGGAAGTAGAGAGGCATACTACCTTGTATCCTCACATCTGGATATGTTAGTCTCCATTCCACGCTACTGTACATCCCCTCAAATGAAAAGTCATAATACAAAATCAACAATAGAAAGAAAAATAGAAATTTACAGTGCCATAAAGTTAAATAACATGTTACTAGATAGGACAGTCTCCATTACATAGCTACTAAATATCCCCTTAAATGAAAAGCCACAAAACAAAATCAACATCAGGAAGAAAAAAAATTAACAACACCATGAAGTTAAATAACATGCTACTAAATGACTAACGTGTAGCTGAAGAAATGAAAATCAAGAACCTTCTTGCAGGAAATGATGCTACTGTATGAGTCATTGAAGACTTTAATCAGAAGAAAGTGTTTTTGAAGAGATGAAACTAACAGAAAACATCAAAACCCATGCGATATAGTTTCTGCTGATTTTTGTTGGTGAAATGTGTCTCCTGTAGGCAACAAATAGATGGGTTTTGTTTTTAATCCAGTCTACTAATCTATGACATTTGATTGAGCTTAAGCCATTTACATTCAGGGTTAATATGTATGGGTGGTACTTTGGTTCTGTCATTTTAGCAATGGTTTGTTCATTGATTTAGTCTTCTGTTGTCATTTTACTGGGATGTTCTTCCCACTTGCCTTTGGTTTTGGTGAGCACTGTTCCTTTTCTCTGTGAAGAGAACATCTTGAAGTATCATTTGTAGGGCAGGTTTGGAAGAGGCATATTCTTTGAACTTTTCTTTGCTATGGAAGAATTTTATTTCATTTTCAAAGACAAAGGAAAGCTTTGCTGGATATGTTTTCCTAGGCCGACAATTTTTTTCTTTTGGAATCTGGAATATGCCACTCCATTCTCTTCTTGCCTGTAGTTTCCTGTGAGAGATCTCCTGTGCGTTTAATTGTCATTCCTTTATATATCAATTGATTTTTTTTCATGTGCACATTTCAGGATCTTTTCCTTATGTTCGACTGAAGAGAGCTTGATGATCATGTGTTGTGGTGAAGATTGCTTTTGATCAGGCCTCTTGGGAGTTCTGTGCCCCTCCTGGATGTTGTTTCCCAATTTTTTCTTTAGATTAGAGAAGTTTTCCTTTATTATTTCATATAAATAGATTTGTAAAACCAGTTTCTCTTTCTGCACCTTCTGGGACTCCCATAACTCTTATATTAGGCCTCCTAATAGTGTCTTTCAATTTTTGAATTGAACTCGATGGGAAGTGGAGCTGCGGGGATTAGAACTGGCATTCATATGGGATACTGGCACATTCAAGGTGAGGACTTTAGGCGCTAGGAAACAGCACTGGGCCCAAATTCTTTTTAACGGTATATTTATTTTTATTAGAAAGGTAGATATAAAGAGAGGAGGGAGAGACACAGAAAATTTTCCATCTGTTGATTCATTCCCCAAGCGACCGTTTTGGCTGAAGCTGCCCTGATCCAAAGCCAGGAGCCTGGAGCTTCTTCTGGTTTTCCCATGTAGGTGCAGGGTCCCAAAGCCTTGGGCTGTCCTTGATTGCTTTCCCAGGCCACAATCAGGGAACTGGATGGGAAGCATGGCTGCTGGGATTACGACCAATGCCCATATGGGATCCTGGTTCATGCAAGGCAAGGACTTTAAGCAGTAGGCTACTGCGCTAGACCCTTTTTTAACCTTCACTTTTCAAATTTTTGAAAGATTCATTTGTTTAGTTGAAGTGGTTACACAGAAAGCATGATACAGTGGTAGGTACTAGAACTTACAATCTCCTGTTTCACTTCCCAAATAGCCTCCTGGCTGGTGCTGGTCCAGACCCAGACCAGGACCTTGGAGCTCAGTCCAGGTTTCCCATGCGAGGGGTAGGTGTCCGCGTACCTGACCAGTCCTCTGCTGCTGTCCTGGGAACTTTAACAGGGTGCTGGAGCAGCAGCGGGACAGTCAGTACCTGAGCTGCCACGGTGATATAGAATGCTGGTTGTTGCAGATGGCAGTTTTTCTGGCTTGCCTTCATTTTTAAGTGACTTGACCTTTTTTAAGGAGTTATTAAGCTTTTTAAAAATAGAAATAATTGTACAATAAAATTTCGTGAATTCTAAAGCATTAATTTGTATAATCTGTGTGTAGTCTGGGTATGGAATAGTCTGACTACTATATAGACTTCCTACACTGTTCCTCCTTTGCTTCATTTCCTTTAAACTGCTTTTATTCATTAAAGACGGTTGCTTGTCTCTGTGTGTTTTAAAAGATTTACTTATTTATTTGAAAATCAGAGTTAGAGATCTTTGATGGCACTGATTCACTTCCCAAATGGCCACAATGGCTGGATCTGGATCTGTCTGAATCCAGGAGCCAGGAGCTTCCTCTGGGTCTCCCATATGGGTGCAGGGGCCCAAGCACTTGGACTGTCTTCCACTGTGTTTCCAGTTGCATTAACACAGAGTTGGATTGAAAGTGGAGCAGCTGGCACTTGAGCCGGCACGCACATGGAATGCCAGCACTGCAGATTGGCACCAAACTCTCGCATGTCTATTGTTTATTCTCCATGGCTATTCTTTCCTGTTTGAGAATGTCATAAATGGAATCATATTATGCAAAATTTTGAGACTGATGTTTCCTTGTTTGGAAGTTTTATCTTTGTGATTCATCCAGGCAGATTTTTCGAATTTTATTTATTTGATGGGTGAAGGATGTGGATAGAGAATGAGAGTGAGGAGTGGAGGCTCTCCGTTTACCTTCATTGGCACTAGGCATGGGTCTGATGCTTGGAGCTGGAGGTTTATTCCAGATCTCATATGTGGGAGGTTGGAACCATCACTTGCTGCCTCCCAGGATCTCCGTGAGCAGGAAGCTGGGACAGGGACCCAGAGGCAGATGTTGAACCCAAGGGCTTTGTTGTGGGGCTTGGACATCCAAATGTTTACCTGCTTCCAGGTTGCTGAATATGTTAATTGTTCTTCTTGCAGCTGAGTAACACTCCATTTTATGACTCTACCTCAGTCTCTGAATGTCCTCATTGTTGAGGGATATTCTAGTGTTTCTAACCTTTTTTTTTGAAAGTGAGTGTCTCAGATGAAACACAATGACGTTTGTTTCTGTGTGTTCAGTAAGCATCTCTAAGAAGTGGGATTGCTGGGTCGTATAGTAAGTGTAAGTGTGACTGATTTGTGAGACACATTTGTCTTTCAGAGTTGCCTTTCTGTTCTGGTTTCCCCTCTAGTGTCATATGTGTTTTTTATTGTGCATGGCCAACAACAGTATCATTGTTAGTTTTTCTTCTAGTTATCCTAATAATTGTGTGGTTCTGCTCTAGTAAGTGTGTTGTGGTTGTAATTGGAGTTGGGCATATTTCTCATGATTAGCTGTCTTCCATAGAAACTCATGGTGATGTGTGTGCTGCAGAGCTGTCTGTCGGAGTGGTCCTGGATGCCTTTACTGAGTAACGGGGCTTTATTGCAATCAGAGAAATTAGCAAGCAGATTCTCATTAGTTGTTGACATTGGAGTCTTTAGAAGTGGCACATATGCAATAGGAATAGTATATCATACACTCACATTTCTTATGTCTAAGCAAGCATATAAAGCATTTGACATTTAAGTGATGAAATTGACATTTCTGCATTTCATGATTCTTTGCTAAATAAATTTTCACAATTCCTTTAGGGGGAAAACTTGCCATGGTAGAGAGAGAAGGAAATGGCAAAATGGAGTAACTATTCTATTCCAGCCTCACCAAGGCCTCGCTTTTTGTGTAGTGGTTTTGTGGTGTTGGAGAGCCAGGGCTGCTGTTATCACTGTTTAAATACAGTGGAAATTAAGCCTGTGTGAGGGATGTTTCATACAAACCATGTCAAGAAATAATTTCCTTTTTAAGACTGGTGAATCTGTAATTACAGAGGAAGTAGAGCAGTGGCTTTCCAGCTTGAGCTCACATTTGAACCATCCAGAACAGGTGGTAGGCTTTAGCATCAAATTCCTGGTTGAGTTGTCCTTTAGGGACTAACAGGTTTTCACGTGAATTTCCCTCCTCACCTGTGTGTGTGTCTATGTGTGTCTGTGTACATGTGCGCCCATGCATATGCTCTGCACTGTTACATTTCCATTCACGGATGGCTTTGCATTTAGCAAGTGTTAAAAAAACTAGTCTGAGAAATTAGAGTTGGAGGTTTTTCCTTCCCAGTGAGATCTGAGTGGAAAATTCTGCAGTGAATCATCTCTGTTTTCTGCTTTTGTTTCTTCAAATAGAAGGTGAATGGCTTAGCCTAGGGCAATGGCTTTACTTTTTTTTTACATTTAAATTTTTATAAATGTTATTGCTATAATATATAATAAAATGGACAGGATTGAAGCAGGTATATCAGCATTTATTTATTTACTTGAAAGGCAGTTACAGGGTGGAGGTGGAGGAAGAAGAAGAGAGATGGAGAGAGAGATGGAGAGAAAGTGAGAGAAGGCACAAAGAGGAAGATCTTCCATCCACTGACTCATTTCCCAATGGCAGCAGTGGCCAGGGTTGGGCAGACTGAAGCCAGCAGCTTCTTCTGGGTTTCCCACATGGATGCAGGAGCCCAAGGCCTTGGGCCATCATCTGCTACTTAACTCAGGCACATTCTCAGGGAGCTGGACTGGAAATGGAGCAACTGGGGCTCAAACTGGCTTCCATAGGGGATGCTGGCGTTACAGGCAGCACCTTAAGGTGCTGTATCACCAGACAGTATCCCCCTGGAAATGTTTTAATCAGCATATATGCCTGTGTAACCACCCTGAGGCAGCCAGGCTATGGGATATCTGTGTGTGTGTGTGCATTTTAAAGATTTATTTATTTGAATGGCAGGACTATTTCATCTGCTGGCTCACACTTCAGACAGATGCAAAGGCTGGTCAGGCTTCAGCCTGTTGGACAGATCTTCCACGTGGTGGCAGGGGTGTATGTCCTTTGTCCGTCTTTGACTGATTTCCCTGGCAAGGGAGCTTGATTGGAAGTAGAATATTGTGGACATAAACCAGCACCCAAGTGGGATGCCAGTGCAGTAGCCGTGGCTTGACCCACTGTGCCACAATGCTGGCACTGAGTGTTTAGTTTGTACAAGGAAGGTTTCTTTTTCAGAGGAACACCCAGTTATTTGCTTTTGTCTTACCTGAACTTAGGGTAGGAGTATGACTCTGTGAGTGGATCGCCTTTCTACTATCTATTCACTGCCTTGTCTTTTTAAGGTGACCTGAAAAACATTAAAAAATGCATATACTTATTTATAAAATGAAACTTACTAGAGCTTTTTTTTTTTTTTTTTTTTTTTTTGCCAGGCCTTTGGAAATGCAAAGACAGCTCATAATAACAATTCAAGTCGCTTTGGCAAGTTTATTCAAGTAAATTACCAGGAAACAGGCACGGTACTTGGGTAAGTATTGTTATTTAATGATAGTGTACCTGGGAGCATGTTTTTATTTTGTGTCATTACCTCTTTATAACTATGGATTATTGATTTGATTTTTAATGAGAACAGTGACATAGGTGTTTGCATTGAAGCTATTTATTCCGTACATTTTTAAAAAAGATTTATTTATTTATTGGAAAGTCAGATATACACAGAGGAGGAGAGACAGAGAGGAAGATCTTCCGTCTGATGATTCACTCCCCAAGTGAGCGCAACGGCCGATGCTATGCCGGTCCAAAACCAGGATCCAGGAACTTTTTCTGGGTGTCCTACGTGGGTGCAGGGTCCCAAGGCCTTGGGCCGTCCTCGACTGCTTTCCCAGGCCACAAGCAGGGAGCTGGATGGGAAGTGGAGCTGCCGGGATTGGAACCGGTGCCCATATGGGATCCCGGCGCATTCAAGGCGAGGACTTTAGCTGCTAGGCTACACCGCCGGGCCCTATTCTGTACATTTTTATCTTTTGTAAAAAGTGAAAGCCCAGGAGACTTGTAAGGTGAAGTTAATACTTATGCACCTTTAACCTAGATTTACTGATTATTAATAATTTATTCTTCCGTGTCTTACATAATTTATTTGAATTGTTTTCAGAATGAGTTAACTCGACCTGATTATTGGAGTTCTCCAAACATTTACATTTCTCTTGTTGCCCATATCACTATTACTATATTTAAGAAATTTAATTCAGCTATTCAATTTGTGGTCATAGTTCTCTAGTTGTGCCAGCATTATCTTTTTTTTTTTTTTAATGCGGGGGGAGTCCAATGTTGTGCCACAGCATGTTAAGCGCCGCCCGTGACATGGCATCTCATATTAGACTGCCCTTTTGATGGCACTTTTTTAAAAGCTGTATTTATTTCTATGAGAAAGGCAGAGAGAAGGAGAAACAGAGAAAGATCTTCCATCTGCTGGTTTGCTCCCCAAATGACTGTGACAGCTGGAGCTGAGCAGATCCAAAGCCAGGAACCAGGAACTTCTTCCAGGTCTCTCACGTGGGTACAGGGTCCCAAGGCTTTGGGACATCCTCGACTGCTCTCGCAGGCCAGAAGCAGGGAGCTGGATGGGAAGTGGAACAGCTGGGACGTGACCCAGTGCACCATGGGATCCCAACACTTGAGGGGAGTATCAGTCAGCTGAACTATTGTACCCGGCTCAGAAATGTCTTTATTAGCTTGTTACATAAGTTAGTAGACTGTGTTTTTTTAGAGAGGCTTTAGGTCCATAGAAAAAATACTTAGTAACTACACAGAGATTCCCTGTTTTCTTTCATATCTCCACACTCCCATCTCAGTTTCTTCTGTTACAAATGGGCGTTGGTGTGGACTGTCCCTTCTTTCCCAGCTCAGGACCTTTTAACTTCTGACCTTAAAAGCTGGCTATGTAGCTGCCCCATTTCATTCTCCATTCAGAGATATCTGAGCCTTAATTTTTTAGGGTTACTGAAGGCTATAGTTTCATCAGATGTTGGGTAGCTGTTTACTGCTCCTCCAGAGCATAGGCCATGCATATGGAAAGCTCTTCCGTTCACGCTTAGTGGGGCCTTCTCAATGACCCTGCACAGTGGCTGTGTCTCCTGCCTTGTCTTAGTTACACTGAGAAGTTGTTGGCTTCTGAATCAAATTTAGCAATCACATGAGAACAATTGGAAAGAAGTACATTGCAGAGGGACTGCTTTTTAAAGAGGGAAAGTTTTGTTTTATGCTTTCCCAAGTACTAGGTGATGCTTGTCCCTGTGCAAGTTGTAAAATCATCCAACTAGAGTGCAAAGATTTGTTATTTTTTTTTTAACTAAAAACATCTTTTTAAAAGCTTAGTGGATTTTAAAAAATTTATTTTTTTCTGGAATGGCAGATTTACAGAGCAGCGACAGAAGGATATTTCATTTGGTGCTTCACTCCCCTCAGGGCTACAGTGACCGGAGCTGAGCTGATCTGAAGTCATGAGCCAGAAACTACTTCTGGTCTCCCACTCGGGTGCAGGGTCCCAGGGTTTTGGGCTGTCCTTTACCGCTTTCCCAGTCCACAGGCAAGATGTTGGATCAGGAATAGAGCACCTGGAACAGAACCAAGACCCATAAGGGATTCCAGAGCTTGTGTTGTGGTCTAGGTTTTTGGCTAAATATTTTCTGTGTTCTTGCTGTTACTTAAAAGGCATTTTAAGCACAGATATCAACAAGGTTAAAGTGGTAAAGGGGTAATATTTTTTTTTAAAGATTTATTTTTATTATTTTTTTATTGGAAGGGCAGATATACAGAGAGAAGAGACAGAGAGGAAGATCTTCCGTCCGATGATTCACTCCCCAAGTGAGCGCAACGGTCGATGCTATGCCGAACCGAAGCCAGGAGCCTCTTCTGGGTCTCCCACGCGGGTGCAGGGTCCCAAAGCCTTGGGCCGTCCTCTACTGCTTTCCCGGGCCACAGGCAGGGAACTGGAAAGGAAGTGGGGCTGCCGGGATTAGAACTGGCGCCCATATGGGATCCGGCGTGCAAGGCGAGGACCTTAACCACTTGCGCCACCGCGCCGGCCCCTAGGGGTAATGTTTAGAGGGTGAGGAGTATAAGCTAACTTGGACCTTGAGTCAGAAAGAAAAGGGGTGAGGGATAAAGAGATTGATACTTTTGTTCTTAACTTAGAGAGATTGTTCTTAGGGTCTGCCGGTAGGAATCAAGAGAGTATGGGAGACAGGGAGGTTAAGAAAGAGCCCAGCTGTGGAAGTGGCACCCAAAAGGCCCAAGAGGACCAAAAGGATGGGTGCCTTCTCACACAGGCTTTTTACAGGGCTTGAGAGGGGTGACTAGTGACATTGCAGTCTACCCCCCAAGACCCAGGTAATGATGGGTATGGATTAACTGAACCATGAGTGGGGGGGAAATATTACACAAACAGGTGAGGTGCTGCTTTCATGCTTGTGACCCTGAACTGGCTGCCTGCCTAGACTAGATCACTTGGAAGTAGAGGATCAGCCAATTGAGCCATTATGCCATACCAAGTATATCCATTTCTGTACTGCTTGTTCTTTACTGCCCAGTAAATGAATGCTTATTTAGTAAAACAGTAGATAATATGTAAATAAATCTCAGAGTGTGACATGGCATTAATATAAAGAAACAACGTATTTCTTTCTGTATTATTTAGCAGTCTTGCCCAAGTATACTACCTATAAGAATTTGTACAGGTATGTGACTGTGGTAGTCATGTATTGTGGAAGGCCTGGTGTACGAGGGTTTTGAAGTTCTGACCTTATTGGGGGCTGGCGCATTGGTTCAACTGGATAATCCTCCATCTCCAAGGACTGGCATTCCATATGGGCACCGGTTTGTGTCCTGGCTGCTGCATTTACCATCCAGCTCTGCTTGTGGCCTGGGAAAGCAGTGAATAATGGGGCAGTGTCTTGGGACCCTACATCTGCATGGGAGATACAGAAGTTTCTGGCTCTTGGCTTTGGATCTGCTCAACTGCAGACTGCAGCAATTGCAACCACTTGGGGAGTGAACCAGTGGATGGAAGATACTTTTCTCTGTTTCTCCTCTCTGTAAATCTGCCTTTCCAAAAAATAAAATAAAATAAAATAAAATTCTGGACTTTGCACAGTAGCCTAGTGGCTAAAGTCCTTACCTTGCATGCACTGGGATCCTGTGTGGACGCTCATTTGTGTCCCAGCTGCCCTGCTTCCCATCCAGCTCCTAGCTTGTGACCTGGGAAAGCCATAAAGGACGGCCCAAAGCCTTGGGACCATGCCACCCATGTGGGAGACCTGGCAGAGGCTCCAAACGTCAGATTGGTTCTGTTGCAGCCATTGTGGCCACTTGGGGAGTGAATCATCGGACAGAAGATCTTCCTTTCTGCCTCTCTTTCTCCCTGTACATCTGCCTCTTCAATAAAATAAAGAAATCTTAAAAAAAAATCTTCTTTTTCTCTTCTTCTTTCTGTATATGTTTCCAATAAAGTAAATAAATCTTAAAAAAATTTACTTTATATTTGCAGAAGCAAGCAAAATGGTTATGACTTTGTGAATTTAACCTGGATGACCCTAACAACATGGCATAATCAATTGCAGTAATATACTGAAATGATCTGGAGTAATAATAGTCTTTGTAGTTTTTCCTCATGCTGTATAAATACTTATCTACTGCATACTAAGCTTTATTATTCATATTCACCAGTTTTATTTTTCTTCCAGTGCCTACGTTGAAAAGTACCTTTTGGAGAAATCCAGACTCGTTTACCAAGAGCATAATGAACGGTACATGGTTTTATTTGTATAATTAGATGTAGTTTATGCCATGTAGATTGACATCTAGGCTTTTGTATATAAAGATCCTTAAATTTGGTTTTGTGTATAATTGTTAGTTCTTTCATGGCTAAATAGTACAGTATTTCAGAGGCTGTAAGATGCAGCTTTTCATGGTTTTAGACCAATAGCCCTTTTTAAATTGTTGGCAGACTGTCAGAACAGGACAGCAGTTCATTCATTTGTTTCTTGGTACTCTGTCTAATTTGAGGACAGTTTTCCATAATGTTTAATTTGCTTGCATTGTTCAGATTTATGGGACATTAGAGATATTCTATATTCTATACAGAATATACAGAAGATGAAGAATCCAAGTATCTGAGAGGCATATGATGTGTGTTTGTTTTAGTGAGACATGGTAAAGTTAAGAATCAGAGGTTAAAATTGTACAGACCCCCACTTTTTTCCCCATTCTATAGAATGAAAGACATTGTACAGTTGCTCAGAGAATTGTATGAAAGATTTATAAAATGCTAATAAAGAACTTATAACTTAAAAATATTTTATTTGTTTGAAAGAGTAATAGAGAGAAGGAGGATTACAGAGAGAAACTTTCCCATCCATTGGATCACTCAGTAGATGGCTGCAGTATCTGGAGCTGGACTGGTCTAAGCCAGAGGCCGGGAGATTCCTCTGGGTCTCCCAAGGACCGGGCTGTCTTGCACTGTACTAGGCACATTAGCAGGGAACTAGATTGGAAGTGGAGCAACTGGAGCCTGTGTGGCATGCTGGCGTTGTAGGAGGCAGCTTTACGTGCTGTGCCACAGTGCTAGTTCCCAAGGTTTCTAATTAAATAATAACTTCATAAAGATTTGCAGGATTTATCATGTGCAGTTAAACAGAAGGCTAGGGGTAACTTTCTAGTACATTTTCACAGTGTGGTGGGGGCTGTTAAGCCTATTTTACTGAATTTGAGATGGTGCATGGGTGGTAAAGATCCAGAATTTACAAGCTGATGAAGTTGATTTACAAGTCTATGAACGTGTAATGCTTACAAGGTATGACTGGATTTGGTTTGCTAGTATTTTATCGAGAATTTTTCTCTTGACATTCAAATAGTGCTTTTACGTTTTCTTGGGATGTTATCTGGGTATTCTTTATTGATTCATGGAATGAGATATAAATTCTTTTCCCTGATACATTTTTGGAAGAATTTTGGAAGAATTGGATTAACTTTAGTGTGTTGTAGGATTCACTAGAAAAGCTATTTGGTTTTAGACTTTACATGAATGAATGCTATTTCAGACTCTTCAGTTGTCATGGACGTATTTAACTTTCTTAGTCACATTCGTCTGTTTCACCTAGGTCATCTCATTTATTGCTAAAATTATTTAAAGCAGGTTGTTAGTTTATAGCTTTGATTGCAAAGCCCAAGCTTAGGGCTATGATACTCTGTCAGTGCTGCTTCAGCTCCACCCTGTTCTGGTTGGTAGGTGGTTCTTGTGTCCCTTAGTTCTGCGTCTGGATCAGCCATCTGTTGGTTGAAAGTATTTGGAGGTTCGGGGAGCCGGTGCTGTAGCATGAGAGGTAATCCTGGCTGCTCTGCTTCTGATACAGCTCCCTGCTAATGAACCCGAGAAAATCAGCGGCTTTTGTACCCGTGTGGGAGATCGGGCAGAGGCTTCTGGCTTCAGACCGGCCCAGCTTCAGCTGTTGCAGGCATTGGGAAGTAAACCAGCGGCTGGCAGAAATTTCTAACTGTGCCTTTTAAATAAAACAAAACATCTTCTAAAAGAAAAAAATATTTGGAAAAAAAAATGTTTGACCTGAAAATGTTTGGACATTTTCCCCTATCATCAGCTGTTTACATACATTGTATTGTGATATGTAATACAGGAAATCTAGAAATGATTTAGGATCAGCTGCAGGATCCTGGAACTCCACCGGGTCTCTCATGTGGTGGCAGGAGCACAGACACCTTGGCTATCTTTTGTTAGTTTTCCATGCACATGGCAGGGAGCTGGATTGGAAGTGGAGCAATTGGAACTTGAATCAGTGCGGGGGGTGGAGGCTTAATTCCCTGTGCCACTGTGCTTGCTTCTATAATTTATTTGAAAGGTAGAGTTATAGAAAGAAGGAGAGTCAGTGTGTGAGTGTGGTAGATAAATCTTCCGTCAGTTGATTTATTTCCCTAATGGCCACAAGAATCCAGCCTGGGCCAGGTTCACTCCAGAAGTCAGGAACTGCATCAGGGTATTCCGTATAGGTGGCGGATTCCAAGTACTTGGACAGTCTTCCAACTTTTCTAGGGACATTAGCAGGGAGCTCGCTCAGGAATGGAGCGGCTTGGACTTGAATGGGGACTGCTTATGGACCTGTATTACTGATGGTGGCTTATCTTGCTGTTGCTTGGTGAAGATCCCCTGCTGTTTGTTTTATGGATGATGCTTTTGTTTTTATGTTCCATTACTCCCTTCTTTTATGTTAAATAAACATGTTCTAGGGTACTGTATGAATTTTGTTGATGCTGCTTTCATAATGTTGTGTGTATATTTTTAGTGATTGCCCTGAAGATTATAGAGGTTATAATTTGTAATGATGCAGTTTTGATGAGTAACAGCTTGATTTTGATACTCTGTAAAAACTTTTTTGAGGTCTACATGTGATGTAGAGCCTGTGCCTGTGGTGCAAGCATCTAATATGGGTGCCAATTCATTGCTTCACTTCTCATGCAGCTCCCTGTTTGTGGCCTGGGAAAGCAGGCCAAGTTTGTGATTATTGTTTTTATTCCTACTGTGTGTTTTTGTGATTTTGTCACAGGAAGCTGTATATATTCAGCTGTGCCTTCAGCACACAGCAGTCTTTGTTTTCTGTTTGTGCCAAGCCTTAGGTTTAGCCAGCGAGGAGAACATGGAAGTTCATGTGGTCTTCCTGAGAGTGCATGCGATCCTGGCTCGTGTGTATCCTCATGCATGTGTGTGGGCTGTCTTCTCCCACATGCCCAGCAATGGAATGGAGCTATTACTCAGGGAGTGTTACTCAGGGAGATCACTCAGCAGCTCTTCCTGCTAAGTGTTTTTGATTAGCCTGTTACTTGTCTTTCATCCTCTGCTTCAGAGGGCTGGAGTGTGCTGTTAATTTTTCTGTGGGAAAAATGTTGGCATCATGTGAACTTTGAATCAGATCATATAAAGTCAGTCTGCAACACAATTTCTTCTAGGAGATTACCAAACAGTTGATATAATGGTCTTTGTTAGGGTGTGAGGCTCCGAACAAGTTCCCAGCCATTCTGCCCTGGCTGGGGGCTGCCCGTCTTCTGCTATGTGCCGTCGTGGGCTGTGGTGTTGAAGGCGTCTGTGCAGCTGGTGAGCAGGGCACGGAATGGCACAGATTAAAATGCTGCAGAAGATTCAGCTGCTTTTCTTGAATAAATTGACTCTGTAGATGATTGCAAACCTTTGTTTAATTTTCAGAATTAAAAAAGTAATTCTAGTAAATCTGACAGGTTCTTCTTGGTTCTGTGCAGGAGAGATTTTTTTTCAGAGGCCTTAAACTTGCCTTTTTGTTGGCTTCATCTGTCCTGTGTATTCACATCTAAAAATCATTCTATTTTGCAGGTATACCTGGTGAACTCAACACATTTGTCATTAGAGAACAAAACAAAGCTCTTTTTATTGTTTTATTGTTTACTTTTTGCTTTGTATTTCTAGTTAAATGATAACCACAACTCATGATCATTATAAAGTTCATTGTAAAACTCTTCATTTCCAACAGGAACTACCATGTATTCTATTACCTGCTGGCAGGCGCGAGTGAAGAAGAGAGGTTAGCATTCCACCTTAAACAGCCAGAAGAGTATCACTATCTCAATCAGGTGAGAAGGGAGGTCATGGCTTCTGAAATGTAGGGCACTGTTAAATTTTAGCTTCTGAGAAAAGCTTTTCTTCTAGGTTTGTTTTCCAAAACTGGTGATGGATGTTAGCTAGCACTTTCATGGGTGTAATCTAAAAATTTATGTGATGCATTTTTCAAATATTAAAATTAATATAAGCATCATCATTGAAATACTGGTTATATATACATTTTTGAAATCTTCACAAAAATACTAATAAGCTATTTATTAATACCGCATTATTAGAAAAGTGATTAAAGCCTGTAAAGGTTTCTGAAGTGATTTATTTGCCTTCCATGGACCAAGGATGACAAATATTACTAATATTTAATGCGTGTCTGTGAGGAAATACTCGGAACCTGCGTTGTATGTTTTGAGATCTAGGATGCACACCTCTTTGCCTGATGTCATTATGTTGACATAGAATATGATCATGTATTTTATAATATTCCTCTTGAATTATGTACATTATGTTGCACCAAAGGCAAATGACTTAGAAAGTTTGGATCTTCAAAACTCAGCACTTACAATTAAGCTTTCATAGTCAGTAGTAACTCACAAGTGTCATGGCACAGGTTTCTCTAGTTTTGTTATTACGCTTATTAACAAGAATTCTAAAATAAATACTAATGAAATTTAATAGATTCTCTTTTAATGATTTTTTTAAAAGCTTTATTTATTTTTATTACAAAGTCAGATATACAGAGAGGAGGAGAGACAGAAAGGAAGATCTTCTGTCCGAGGATTCACTCCCCAAGTGAGTGCAGTGGCTGGTGCTGTGCCGATCTGAAGCCAGGAACCAGGAACTTCTTTTCGGGTCTCCCACACGGGTGTAGGGTCCCAAAGCATTGGGCCGTCCTTGACTGTTTTCCCAGGCCACAAGCAGGGAGCTGGATGGGAAGTGGAGCTGCCGGGATTGGAACCGGCGCCCATGTGGGATCCCTATGAGTTCAAGGCGAGGACTTTAGCCACTAGGCACAGCGCTGGGTCCTCTTTTAATGATTTTTAAAGGCAGAGTTAAGGGGTGGCAGGGAGGTGTAGAGAGAAATTTTTCATCTACTACTTCACTGCCCAAATGGCTCAGTGACCGGAGGAGGGCCAGGCCGATGCCAGAAGCCAGAGGCTTCCTCCACATCTCTGTGTGCATAGTAGAGCCCAAGAATGTGGGCCATTCTTCACTGTGTTTCCCAGGCATGTTAGTAGACGCTCCATTGGAGGTGGAACAGCGGGAGTTGAAGCGGTACTCATATGGAATGCTGGTGTTGCAGACAGTGGCTTACACGCTATTTCACATCACCAACTCCTTATTTTTCACTTGTTTGAACTGAAATGTGATGTCTGTGGAAATTCCATTTAGTTAAAGAAAATCCATACAAAAATTTTCTAATTAATTGATGCTTTGGTGGCTCAAAGATTATATGTTTGTTTAAGGTTCTAAGATAAATGCTTAGACTTTTATTAAGATTCACAATGTATTTTTTCTTTCCTTGTTTTTTCCTTTTAAAAAAAAGATTTATTTATTTGAAAGGCTAAATGATAGAGATAAAAGGGATGGGCAGAGAGGAAGAGAGCATGATCTTCCACTTGCTGGTTCACGCCTCAGACGGCCTCCACTGCCAGGGCTGTGTTAGGTGGAAGCCAGGAACTCATTCTTGGTCTCCTGCATGTGTGACAGCTGCTCAAATACTTGGGCCATCTTGACTACCTTCCCAGGCACATTTTAGGGAACTGATTTGCAAGTGGATTAACCAGGATTTGAACAATCACTCATATATATAAGGTGCTATGATCACAAGCAGTGACCTAACCCCACTGTGCCACTGTGCCAGCCCCAGTATTTTATATTTTCATAAAATGGTGATTACAAAGGTAGTTTGGCCAATCCTGAGATTGGCTGTCTGAATATTTTTGTAATTAGTTTACTAGTATGTATGTCATAATCTCAGTGTTCATAGAATATGGGTTTAAGCAATTTATACATGCCTGGCAGAAGGATCTATGGGTTGGATGTGGAAGGATACTTTCTCTCAGAATCTGAATCTTAACTTGGCTATCTCTTGTTTTACTTTGCTATGCACATTAACATTTCTTTGGATAACAGTAGTAGCAGAGCTAACTGAAATTTAATAACCATTTCCTCTACCTAACTAATCTGCCTTACTTTCAGATAACAAAGAAAGCCCTCAGACAGAGCTGGGATGATTATTGCTATGACTCTGAGCCGGTCAGTACAAGAACTTAAATATTTCATGTTCCTGTTAAAGGACCCTCACATTGCTCACTTATGACTCTCTGTTGTGCGTTAGAATGAAAATCAACAGAAGTACAGAATATCCTAGATAAAACAGTGTCTAACTTTCTGAATGAGTGATTTGTATGTGTATGGTTTGTGGACTAAAAACTAATCCATTTGGATTCAATGCTGTGGTACAGGGGTTAAGCTGTCACTTGGGTGTGAGCACATCTCATCAGTACTGGTTCCAGTCTCACTTGTTGTATTTCAGTGCCCAGCTAAGGTGCCTGAGTAAACAGAGTGTCACGTAAGGATCTGGGTCTCTGTCACCCAGGTGGGATCTGAGTCTGACCTGGCCTGGCCCTGGCCTGGGAGTAAAGCAGTAGACAGAAGATCTCTTTGTCCCCCTCTCTCTGTCACTTTGCCTTTAAGATAATAACGTTTTTTTTTTTTTAAAAGATTCATTTATTTTGATTGCAAAGTCAGATATACAGAGAGGAGAAGAGACAGAGAGGAAGATCTTCCGTCTGATGATTCACTCCCCAAGTGTCCGTAACGGCTGGAGCTGAGCCATTCTGAAGGCAGGAGCCCAGAGCTGCTTCCAGGTCTCCCACACGGGTGCGGGGTCCCAAGGCTCTGGGCCGTCCTGGACTGCTTTCCCAGGCCACAAGCAGGGAGCTGGATGGGAAATGTGGCCACCAGGATTGAAACCTGCGTTCATATGGGATCCCTATGCGTGCAAGGCGAGGACTTCAGCCACTAGGCTACTGTGCAGGGCCCTGTTTTTTTTTTTGTTTTGTTTTGTTTTTTAATTTCAGTTTTCTTTGAAAGGCATTGAGACAGAGAGAAAAGAGGGACAGAGAGGCAAGCAGTCTTTCATCCACCAGGCTGAAGACTGGAGCCCAGAACTCAGTCTGGGTCTGTCGTGTGTGGCAACGGACCTGACCTTTTCAGGGCACATTAACAGAGCTGGGTGGAGAGTGGAGCAACCAGGGTTCAAGCAAGCATTCACATGGGATGCAAGCATTAAAACACATGGCTTAATTGAGTGAGCCACAGTGCCAAGCCCCTAGCTGTTGTTCTGATGTTAATTCTGTGCTATTGCCAGTGAGGTGTGTGTGTGCGCTTAATTTTTTTAATGATTTATTTTTATTGGAAAGTCGGATTTGCAGAGAGGAGATTCAGAGAAAAAATCTTCCATCCGCTGGCTCATTCCCCAAGTGGCTGCAACAGCTGGAGCTGAGCCAATCCAGAGCAAGGGGTTTCTTCCAGGTCTCCCACATGGCTGTGGGGTCCCAAGGCTTTGGGCTGTCCTCTACTGCTTTCCCAGGCCACAAGCAGGGAGCTGGATGGGAAGTGGAGCAGTCAGGACAGGAACCAGCACTCATAAGGGATCCCAGCACAGGGAAGACGAGGACTTTAGCTGCTAGGCTACTATACCGGACCCTTTATGCTTAATTTTAAAATAATATTTTTCTTGAAAAACAAAATCAGGGACAGAGATGGAGAGTTATTAAAGAGAGCTTTCCTCTGGTAGTTCACTCGCCAAATGCCCGCAAACTTTAGGACTGGGGCAGGTGAAGGTCTTAAATCTGAAATTCCACCTGGGTCTCCACATGGGTGTGGAGCCATCATCTGCTGCCTTCTAGGATTAATCAGCAGGAAGTGAGACCAGAAACTGTGTAGTTGGGACTTGAACCATTATTATGATATGGGATGCGGGTGTCCTAAGCAGTGGTCCAAACTGTGCTATAGTGGTAGCCCCTGGTTGCTTCCTCCCTCCCTTTTCCTTCCACCTTTATTTGCCTTTCCTGGTCCCCTCCTCCTTCCCTTCCTTTTTTTCTTTTACCAAGGATTCTTATTTTTTTCCTCTTTGGCATCTGTAAATTTTATTTATTTATTTATTAACTTCCATTTCTTAAATTATATTTTTGACAATCTTTACATAGTTAGAGTAAAAAGGTTCAAGGGCTACAGGAAAGTGGGTAAGATTATTATTTCACTATTGTTTCCTTCATGTATCTGAGGTAAAGGTAGATATTAAGGGAGAAGCCCCACCCAGTCTCCCACCCATCCCAGGTACCTGATGTGGGGCATGCTCTGAGGGTCTTGCTCAAGTGGTTTTGATAGTTCACCAGTGAAGAGTCGCTGCCAATATTGCCATTCCAAGTGTGAAGAGGTCGCTGAAAACTCTACTGATTGACATAGTCCATCTTGGAGTCTCCATTTGCCCAGTTTTTCGCTACCAACATATGGTTGAGGTAGTTAACTGACTTGTTCTGTCCTCTGTCTTTTCATGGTTAGGGTTCTGAGTCTGGCAGTTTGATTGGGGAGATCCCCAAAGAAACTTTGTCTGAGGTGTTCCCAGACCAGATTCTTGTATGTGCCAGCAAGTATAGGGCCCAGCACAGTCCTTTGCCCCGATCAGCTGGTAGTTGCAATTGCTGGGTTGGTTCTATTTCCAGCCCTGTCTTCCACTGGAACCAATGGGTGTTACAGTCCAGCCTTACCAAGGATTCTTAAAAAGAAGGTTTGAAAGGAGTCAGAGATTGGAATCTGAGAGAGAGGCGAGCAGACAGGCCGACATGTTGCACCTGCTTGTTTATTCTCCAGATGCCCACAGTAGCCTGGACCAGGCCAGGCTGGAGCCAGGAGCTTGCAGCTCTATCAGTGTCTCACATGGGTGGTGAGGATTCATGTACCTGGGCCGTCTTCTGTCACCTTCCCAGGTGCATTATCAGAAGGTGGGACTCTGCATTCTGATGTGGGACGCAAGTATTCCAAATGGTGACTTCGGGTCTGTGCCGTAACACTTACCTGCTGTGCCGTAACATTTACCCTCTTCAACATGACTTTAAGTCATCTAGACAGTATAGAGGAAAAATGTCAATGTTGGCTCTAGGCTTTCTCACACCCATGTTAGGGGCCTATCATGTGCTAGTCATTTGTCAGTGAAAAGGTATTCTTTTCATCTCATACAAAGCGGAAAAATAGTGGCAGTGTCAAAGAGAATTTTAAAAAATGTAATTTGTGTGACAAGTAGCGTGATGGGTTCGTGGGGAGAGGTCTCCAGTCTGCTGGTTCACGTCCAAATGGCTGCAGAGGCCAAACCTGGAGGCTGGAATAACCGAGCTCTCGCATGGCAGTGTCCACGTGGCTGTAGCTCAAGTGAATTGGTCCATCTTCTGCTGCTTTCCCAGGTACGTTAGGAGTGGGGAAGTGGATTCAAAGTGGAGCAGTGACCAACCATGCTGATCTCTGTAGGCGTGTTTTGGGAGATGTGCAGTGGCAGAGCAGTCCAGCTGCAATGTTTTGAGCGGAAGAGGTGATAACATTACTTCTGATTTTCCTGCCTTGACCTTTGAACAGTCCTTTCACTGTTCTCTGATTAAGTAACTTGTACCTTGGTGCCTGGAGGCTTTTTCCCCAGATTCTTGGAAGGCTTCTGTGGTCTTCCAGAAATTATGAGTTAACAGCTGCCTGCGATATACAGCATGTGCTCAACTAATCAGTGTTGGGAGATACCAGCTTCCTCTTTGGGTGTTAACATTGTTGCCCAAAGATAACCTTGGGACTGAACTCCAGTTACCCTCTGTGGCCAGTACTCTCACAGTGTGTCTTATTTGGCTGCCTTCACCTCCTTTTTTCTCTTTCTAAATTCCTTTGCTGCTTGTACTGGCATTTTAGTCTGTTTCAAGCTCTACTTATAGGGAAACCCACAGTGAAAGGGATTTCTTATATGGCGTAGTTAACTTGTCATTTTTTTCTTCTGGAGTTGGTATTTTCAAACAGTTAAGGGCATCATTATGTTTTTAGAAACTTACTATGATTCGGACACTTAGAAAACTCATTTTTTGTTTCTAGAGATTAATAACGGTAACACCCAAGATAAGTGTGTTTGTATTTCAGTGTCCTTTTTGGTTTTCTTTGCCAGTGTTATAATATTATAACTCCTAACTGTTACCGCTAACTTTTGAGGCAGATAGGAGCACTCTCAGAAGAGTTTGGACTGTACAATTGAGTTTATACAAGTAGAAACTTTTTTTTTTTGCCTGTTACAGAAAAAAAATGTTTTCATGTTTGTGTAGCAAACATTCTGTATGTGGAATGAATGGTTTGTGTTTAGAGGGGAGGAAGAGAAGCAAGTGCTTGAAACAAAAGCTGAGTTGTTAAAAATGTGTTAAAATTAGTTTCTGTGAGCAGGACTATAAATTGTGCCTTGAAATTGTTTTTAAAAAATGGTTGTTGGTTGGAAATTTGAGTGTATGGGTCCTCAGAAATTTTCTTCCAGTGAATTAAATTTTTTAAATATTGATTTATTTTTATTGGAAAGTAAGAGATATATAGACGGATAGACAGAGAGGAAGATCTTCCGTCCAATAAAACATTCCCCAAGTGACTGAACCGATGCAAGGAGCCTAGAGCTTCTTCTGAGTCTCCCATGTGGGTGCAGGGTCCCAAGGCTTTGGGCCGTCTCCAACTCCTTTCCCAGGCCACAGGCAGGGAACTAGATGGGATGCGGGGCTGCCAGGATATGAACTGGCACCCATAGGGATCCCAGTGCATTCAAGGCGAGGACTTTAGCCACTAGGCTACTGCACTGGGCCCTTAATTTAAATTTTAAACTCTGTGTATAACTTTCTATATAAAAAATAAAATATTATTAATAGAGTTCTGATATGAAGTGTTTAATTTTAAATCTTAACTCAGTGTTACAGAGTCTAAAACCGTTTTTTTTAAGTACATGGTGAATACTCAATAAGTTTTTTAAAAAAATGAATGAGCACTTCATTTCTATTTTTGTATTTATGCATTGTTTAGTAATTCAGTGATTGTCTTTTTCTGTTTTTCTGTAATTGTTCTTTCGTGTGTTCTTGGACTTGGATCACTGATAATCTGCCATGAACGAGGCAGTTAGCTTTCTGTGTCCATTGAGTACTGTCCCTGTGAAGATCGGTGTTAAACTGTGCAACTGTCGTGAGGAGGTCAGGACACATACTGATGAGATTCAGAAACTTGATTATTGTCTTGAAGATTTCACTGTTTTTGAAATGGAATGCAAGGCTACAGTAACAAGTAGTATATATTTTTAATCTGCACAATAGTTCTCCACTATGTCACAAGATATCTGAGTTTTGAAGGCTTTATACTTCAAAAAAAAAATGATATGAAAGCAGAGAGAAAGAGATTTTCCATCTGCTTGCTGACTCTGCAAATGGCTTCTGGGCCAGGTTGAAAGTTAGCAGCCTGGAACAACTTCTGGGTCTTCTGTGTGTGTGGCAGGGGCCTGGGCACCTGGGCCGTCCTCTGCTAAACTTTCCCATACACTCTACCGGGGTACCGGCTCAGAAGTGGAGCAGTCAGGACATGAACTGTTACCCATGGGGGATGCCTGCATCACAGTGACTTTAAACTGTGCTCCAAAATGCGGAGTTCTAGGCTCTTGTCCTTTCCATATGTAATACATTCTTTCTTCATTTTATCCTGTGAGTCTATTAACAACTATTGATATTGGATGTCTTAAAGTTGATGAACAAACCACATTAGGAAAAACCAGCCATTAAATAAAAAAAAAATTTTTGCATCATAGTAATCCTTTACTTTGTTTTCAGTTAATTTGAATCAGCACTCCTATGGGATCCTGGGAAATACAAGGCGAGGACTTTAGCTACTAGGCAACTGCGCTGCTCCCTCAATTAATTTTTAAACTAAGTTCTTGTCTCTTGTAAAATATATTTTTGTGTCATCAAGATCTGCCTCAGTGTCTTGCATGTGGCATATATTTGGTAAATGTAAATTGAATAAATGAGCTCTTTAATGCTTTGAATTGTCAGAATTCTGAAGAACAGTTTAAAAGCATACTTGATATTAGTGTTTTATAATTATCCCTAAGTCTTAAGTCACTTTTGAGATCCTTACCTTAGTGTTTGTGAAAGAGTCCAAAAAGGTAATACTGGTATTTTTGTATGGGTTTGCACACCTATAATAGGATTAGAGGTCTCCTGAATTTGTGTCCATATACTTCGCCAACTCTAATTTGCATTTGTACATAGATTTGTATATATATCTTAAATGGTTGTATTTCATTATTTTTCAGTAGATGATCTTGATTGTTTTTCTTTCTTTTAAATAAACAGGATTGTTTCACGGTAGAGGGAGAAGATTTGAGGCATGATTTTGAACGGTTACAGCTGGCCATGGAAATGGTAGGATTTCTTCCCAAGACACGAAGACAGTGAGTTTATTCTTTAAAATTTAAAAAATTTTGTTTTAGGGACTGGTGTAATAGCCAGTCTAAGTGCTTAAATTCTCACTTTGCTTGCACTGGTATCCCATATGGATGTCGGTTTCTTCTCTGTTTCTCCTGTTTGTGTATCTAACTTTCCAATAAAAGTAAATGAATCTTTAAATTGGAAAGTCAGGTATACAGAGAGGACGAGAGACAGAAAGATCGTCTCTCCAGTGCTTCACTTCCGAAATGGCTGCAGCAGCCAGAGCTGAGCTGATCTGAAGGCATCACACCAGCTGCCCACACTTCTTGTGTTTGTGAGTTTGGTTCATTAACATCTGCAGAAATTCTTGATGACCTTGAATGTTACTTACGCACCTTTAATTGTTGATTTAGATTTTAACCTTCTCTAATCTTTTTAAATCATGTAGATATATTAGAGAAACATACTTTTCTGTATGTGTAATTTGTGTGTACTATTATAGTTAACATTTTGTTCATTATGAATATAAGCAATTTCAAAATGTAAAGTTTGAGATAAAGATGAAGAAAATTATTTTAAATGAAACCCAATTTACAGATATAAACTGACTCTCACCAGAATAATTATAGGAACTATTCAACACATTAAACATTTCATTTATACTATTTATTTGAACGACAGGGACAGAGAGGGCTTTAATTGAAAAAAATTTTTTTATTCATTCCTCCAATACTCAAAACATCCAGGACTGTGTCTGGCCAAACCCAGGAGCTGTAAACTTAATATAGGATTCTTATGTGGGTGCCATGGGCACAAGTGCTTGAGCCATCATCATCAACTCCCAGAGTACACATTAGTAGGAAATTAGAGTTGGGAATGGAACTGGAACTTAAACCCAGGTACTTTTGTATGGGATGCTGGTGTCCTAAGTAGTAGTTTAACTCGTATAGCAAATACCCACTCCCAAGCACAGTTTGTCTTAAAATATTTATTTATCTGAAAGGGTTACAGAGAGGGAGAGATGAAGAGAAGAAGGAATAGGAGACAGAGACACAGAGAGAGAGAGAGAGAGAGAGAGACAGACAGACAGACAGACAGACAGACAGAGAAAACATCTTCCGCTTGTTAGTTTAGTTCCCAGTGACCTTCCAGGCCAGTGTTTCAGAGTCTCATACTTGGACCCAAGCATTTGGTCCATTTTCTGTTGCTTTTCCTAGGTATTTAACAGGGAGCTGAATCTGACATCTAGCAGCTGGGACATAACCAATGCCCTTTGGGATCCTTGCATTGCAGGTAGTGGGCTTGCCTGTTACGCCACAACACTATCCCCTCAGGACAGTTTTTTGAGGGTAACTTAATGCTAATGAATACCTCTAAGCTTTTCATGATGACAGCTTTTACGCTTCTCATTGTTGAGCTCATAGTAGGAGTAACAGAATAATAGCTTTTGTATTGTTTTGTGTTTGTGTTATTTGTGTGATGCTTTAGTTAGCAAACTTTTCGTTTGTTGTTTCAAAAGATTTACTTTTTAACTTCCATTTTGGGGGTGAACCAGTGGATTGAATATTTGTCTCTTCCAATCTCTGACTCTGCCTTTCAAATAAATAAATTTATTTTTAATTTTTTCAAAAGATTGCTTGTGTAATTGGGATGCTAACTGCCTGCCAAGGAATAGTGTGGTCAAGCCTTGCATTTGGTTCCAGCATGCGCCAGCTGGTACAGCAGTCTAGCCCAGCTTGGCCCAACCCCAGTCTTAGCTTACCTGTGGAAGCAGTGGCTCAGCAGGGGGGTCCTGCAGGTTCCCTTGCTAGATTTGCTCAGAGCCTCAGTCTTGCATGTGTTAGCAGTTAATACGGCCTAGTCAGGAGATGGCCAGTCCTCAGTTTTCTCATTCAGCAGCAGGTGCTGCAGCCTGGCTCAGCCCAGCTTGCTCCAGTCCATGTGTTGTCAGCAGGTGCTACAGCGTAGTCCAGCCCAGGCTACTCCCAGCACCAGCCTCATATAAACTGAGAAGTGTTGTAATCCAACTTGGCCTAACCTTCGCTCCATCCTGGCTCTTGCTTGTGCTGGTGTGTGCTGTGCACTTGACCAGCATAAGCTGCTCCTAGATCTGGCCCACGTGTATGCCAACCAGGGCTGCAGACTAGCCTTGTCTGGCCTACCCCCAGGCCTGGCTTTTATGCTGTCACTGGTGGGAGTTGTTGCCTAGCAGGGGAGCTTACCAGGTCCTCTACTAGGTTGCTGCTACCCAGATGATTATGACCTGTCCCTATTCCTGGGACTTAACCTGTATTAAATAATAGAGAATTTTAGTAGAGGGTTGTTTGTTTTCAGATTAAAAAAAAAAAAAGGTTGGCAATATCTTTCCAATGTGACTGAGTTCCCTTTTGGAAACCACTGAAAACTTCCTCTGAAACCACTGAAAAATTCCCAGTAGATTGACCTTCAGTGTGACACTTCCTTATTGGTCAAGTTTTATCCTCAAATGTTTCCTATACATAGGCTTTATGTTTTGGCTAGACTAGTCTTGTTCTCTGAAACTTTGTTTCATTCTAAACATTTAGTAGTCTTTCATTTGGAATGATATTCATGTCTCTTCGACTCATTGTGATAGTTTTAATATTTTGGGTAGAGAGCATGTTGCTTTCCCTGCCCCCACATGGCCGTGGTAAACATTGCTAATAAGTCACAGTGTCAGTCTCCTGTACTTATGCCTCTCCAGAATATTCAGTGCAACCTTATGGGTGGCTTAGATTTTGAAGGGTTCATTTAAGCCTATTTTCTTAAAATAATTCTCCGTATTCTGCCCTTTTAAAAAATATACATATGTATATTTACTTATTTGAAAGGCAGAGTTACTGAGGAAGAGGGAAAGAAAGGGAAATCTTGTGTCTGCTGATTTACCACTTAGACAGCTGCAGCAGCCAGGGCTAGGCCGGGGAAGCCAAGAGCCAGCGGGGAGCTTCATTTCTGCCTCCTTCTTTTGGATGGAAGGGATCCTAGCACTTGGGCCATCTTTTCTTTGTTTTTCAGAGGATTAGCCTGTTAAACAACTGCATCGATCCCTTCTTGAGCTGTCAGGGAGCTGGGACAAAGGCAGAGCAGCCAGGACACAAGCTCACCAGTATGGAAGGCTGATGTTGCAGAAAGTGGCTTTATTCACTATGCTACATTGCCATATAGTCTCTCTCTTTGGTGATTTTTTTCTTAGTTTTGATTTTTTTCCCCTTTTGTGTTTAAGTATCCCAGCTTTTAGTATAGTTGTTTATGAGTACTGCCCAATAGAAGGTTAGAAGCTTTTTGTGAATAAGAATCATGATTCCTTTCTTAAAATCTTTTATTATTCATATGATTTATGGTGCTTCAAATTTTGTATCTGACATTTGTTTTCAATGGAGAGACCTACTTGTGTGAAAGCATTAACGTGCTGATAGTTGAACACAGAATGTGAGGACAACAGTGGAACCAACCTTTTCAACTATTAAAAATAGTTTGATTTTGTTTAAAAATGTTTTTTCAAAGATTATTTATTTATTGAAATCTTAGAGTTATAGAAAGAGGAGGAGAGACAGAGAGATCTTTGTTCTGCCACTTCACTTCCCAAATGGCACCGTGGCCGGTATTGTGCCAGGCTGAAGTCAGGAGCCAAGGGCTTCTTGTGAGTCTCCCAGTTTTGGGTGACAGGAGGCCACATATTTGGATCGTCTTCTGCCTTTCCCACAGCATTAGTAGGGAGCAGGAAGAAGTGGAGCAGCCCGACAGGAACCAGTGTCTGTCTGCAGTGTTATCATTACTGGTGGTGGCTTAATCCACTACACCACAATGCTGATTGCTGGTTTTAGACTTAAAGTATAGTAAGTTGAGATGGTAGCAAGAATTCCTCTTGAGAGTCATCAGGAAGTGGTATAACACTGAAAGTATATTCTTGTAAAGCACTCTGTGACATGAAGTAAGTACCTAGAAAATTCTAGTTATAATTAGTATTCCTATAATTTTCCTTTTCTGAAAACTTACTGTCTTTACTAGTTAATTGATTACCTGGTATTTTGGAATGAAACCGTGAGATTGCACTTGAAAAAGCTGTAATTTGTGCTTTTATATTCATAGGATCTTCTCTCTTCTCTCGGCAATTCTACACTTGGGTAATATCTGTTACAAGAAGAAGACCTACCGGGATGACTCCATTGACATCTGTAATCCTGAAGTTCTGCCTGTTGTCTCAGAATTGTTAGAAGTGAGTGTCATGGTCTCAGTTCTCACTTCAAGTGCTGGACAATGCCTCATTTTTAAAAATTATTTAAGTATTTTATAGGTGTTATTGGGATATGACTTTTAAAAGCTCATGCTGTCATTATTTTTTTCTGTGGTATCTGCAAAATGCCAGCTCTGTCCTGACACTTGCCCCTCTGTTGCTAAATGTGCTGGCATGCAGGTGAGCGGAGCTCTTTCCTTTGCCCGCCATTTGCCCCAGGCAGTCATCATTCCTGCGTGTCTAGAACAGGGTGAATATATAAACTACACGAAACTATATAATATTATATTTCAATAATTTTCCCCTCTTCTTCCTATTGACTTCTTGCTCTAAGATTTTGTTTATTTTATTTGAAAATGGAATATTGGGGTAAGAGGAAAGAAAAGTAGTATACTTTTTCCCTCATAGGTAGGATACTTTATAGTAGTATACTTTTTTCCTCATCGGGGCATAAAGTTCCTCATTTCCTACCATGGGCAAGCATTTGATGCTGTGATTAATATGCCATTTGAGGCACCTGAATCCAATATTGGAGTGTCCTGGGCTTGGGTTCCAGATCCTCTTCTTTTTTTTTTTTTTTTTTTTTTTTGATAATTTTTACCTATTTGATTAGGGTACAAAAGGTCAAGGGCTAGAGGAAAGTGGGTGAGACCACTGTTTTCATATTCTCTTCTTTCCTTCCTGTGTCTGGGGGAAGGAGGGAGATTAGGGGAGAAGCCACACCCAGCCCCCCAACCATCCCAGGGTCCCTGATGTGGAACATGCTTTTAGGGTCCTGCTCAAGTGGTTTCGATAGCTCAGCAGTTCTGTATTGCTGTCCAGATCATCTTCCAAGTCCAGGTTCTTGCTAATACATATCCTGGAAGATAAAATGATGCTGGGTCAAGCCCTTGGGTCCCTCCTTACTCAGGTGAGAGAACTGGACTTAATTCCTGGTTCCTGACTTTATCGTGGTGCAGCGCCTGCTGTTGCTATCATCTGGAGAGTGAACCACAGGATCAGAGATATTTTTGTCTTTCTCTCTCTCTCTCTCTTTCTGTGCTTTTATTTATTCATTTGAAAGAGTGACAGAGAAGAGAGAGACAGAGACAAGCAAGTGAGTGAGATAGAAAGATATCCTCCATCTTCTGGTTTACTTCTCAAATGGCCGGACCGGAGCCAGGAGCTTGGAACTCCATTTGGGTTTCCAGCTGGATGAGAGGCATCACCAACTGCTTTTCTCAGATTTGCAGGGAGCTGGATCAGAAGCAAAGCAGTTGGATCTTGAATTGGTGTGCCAGGAGGGCATTGCAAGTGGTGGCTTTACCTACACCAGTGCAAAATCAATACACTTACAAAAAGATTCACCCAATGTATGTGGGGTTTGATAGCTAATTTCTTTTTACTCCTGGATATCATATTATGTAGATGTGTGATTTGTTTATCTACTTATTTATTGAAGGACATCTTGAGTTGTTTCCTATTTTGGGTAAATATAAATTACTTGCTTTTTTTATATTAAATGTTACCCATCTTTCAAATCTAGGTTCATATGCTACTTCATGGGATTTGAGTTTATTCTATTGTCCAGATTGACTCTCCATGAATAGAGCATTATTCTATGTTGGGGTAGGGGTTTTTGTAGCATACAATTAATTGTTTACAAGTTCCTGTCAATTATACTACTCTTTTGAGAACAGTGAATACCTTCTACTTAACTAGGCCAATATTTATTTTTTTCAGAATGTGTCTAGCCATTGCTTATTAACTGCAGTTGGTATGTGAGGCCCGGCAGGAGGGAAGGGAGAAAGTTCCCTTGAATTGGAACTGAATTTTTCTTTTATTGGCAAGAAGTTCAGATCGTCCTCTCAGAATGTTGTGATTTTCAGGATCATGAGGGTTGAACAATAAAAGATGTTTCATATAATATTTTCATCAAGCATTGCTATTATAACATTATAGCACATTCACCAGTAGTCCTGCGTGTAAGTCCAAGCCTTGAGTAAGTGCCCAGTGTTGATAGTACAGTACTCCTTTTAGGTGAGAACCTAGTAAGAGAAATGCAGGTAGATTAAGAGAGGAACTCAGTTATTTGTGAAAGAGTTGAAAGCCACTTCTGTGAATTGGGCTTACCTATATCAGAAGTAAACGAATGACAAATTGATTTGATCAGTAATCTCTCTTTTGAACCCAAGTATCTTAAATTTCTTGTTTTGGGGTCTGCATTTGACACTGTTTGGGATACTTGTGTCCAATAGCCCACATTCCCTCTAGGATTACCTGGATTGGAGTTCTGGTTTCCCTCCTGATTTTTGCTTCCTGCTGTGGTACAGCTTGAGAACCAGCAGGCAATGATTCAGTTATGTTAAGCTCTGCCACTTGAGTGGGAGCCCTGGTTTGAGTTTTCTGTTCCCAGCTTCAGCCTGGCCCAATCAAGATTGTTGTGGTCAATTGGTAAGTTAACTAGTGGATAGAAGCTTTGTTTGCCTGTCATACTCTCCTTTCAAATAAATAAAATGAATCATCAACACATTTAAATTTCTTCTGTAAAGTGTGCTATGATTCTAGGATTGAGGTTTAGTGTGACATAGGAGGAACTGGAGGTGCTTGCCTGTGAGTATTTCTTAGAAGTTGTTTTGATGGGCTCTCGTCCCTGAAGATTGACAGTAATTGCAACTTTTAAGGGTTTGGTTATTATAAAGTACAAAGATAAGTGCAATAACTGGTATAATTGAATTCTTAGGATTTAATTTAGTTTGGCTGCTTCCCAGAGTGATTCAATTTGATAATAAATACTGATTTAGTTTGGAGGAACAAATATAAGTATTAAGTATTAATTTAATTTAATTTTTGAAAGTTTTTTTTAAAAAATTAAGTAACAGTAAAAGCCTGTTTGATGGGTAGTTGTGAAATTTTGGCAGATGAGCAAGTTTCAGCATATGTATTGGGAGCATAATTTTGAGTTGGAATTTAAAAATTATCACCATTGTTAAGTTTTTTCAGTTTTTAGCAAAAGTCTGTTGAGATAATGTGAAGAACCTGTTTTTAATGCACATATCAGTTTCTCACTGGTATGAAGAAGGTTGAATTTTTAGTCATACATGTACAACTTAGAATATTTTGAAAATTTTGGAGATTAACTTAGGCATCATGAATTCAGTAATATTTTGTTGGAATGATTACAAAGTATAATCAGCAAGACTAGTATGCTCTATGTGTGTGCTCAGTGCCAGCATTCGCCTCTCTCCCTTAGATGATCCAAGTATTCATCCTTTGTTTTCTACTTTGTGTTTAGAAGAAAGGTCATCAGCAGAGAATAATATATTTGTGTAGGAGTCTGAGACCTATTAAACCCTTATGAGCAACTCTTTTTGATGTCTTCTCTGTTTGTTTTATGTTAACTAACCTTTTAGAGTTTTAAAATCTTTCTTATTTTGCTACTGTTTTTTTATGATAATATTTTAAAAGTTTAAAATTTCTTTAATGATTTATTTTATTTGAAAGAGTTAGAGGGAGGAATAAAGAGAACAAAAGGAGAGAGAGAGAGATCTGTCTTCTGCTGGTTCCCTCCCTAAATGGCTACAGTGGCCAGAGCTGATCTGATCTGAATCTAGGAGCTGGAAAATGGCAGCTGTTGTCCAAGTCTGCCATGTGGATACAGACTCCAAGGATTTGAACCATCTCCACCATTTTCCCAGACTCTAAGCAAACAGGAGGTTGGATCAGAAGTGGAACAACTGGGACTGGAAGTGGCACGAAATGGGACACCCATGCTGCTGGCAGGAGGATTTCTCTGCTGTGCTGCCGTATACGAATTAAAGACTTGTTTGTTTATGTGAAGGCAGAAAGACACACAGAGAGAGACAGAGAGGTCTTCCATCTTCCAGTTCACTTCCCAAATGGTCTCAACAGCTAGGTCTGGACCCAGCCAAAAGTAGGAGTTAGGACCTTCACCTTTGGCTCCCAGAGAGTGTGATAGCAGCCCCAGATCTGACCATCTTTCACTGCATCCCCAGGTGTTTTAGCAAAAAGTTGGATGAGAAGTGGAGTAGCTTGAACTTGGGGCCCAGCAGCGTGGCCTAGCAGCTAAAGTCCTCGCCTTGAATGCCCGGGATCCCATATGGGTGCCGGTTCTAATCCCGGCAGCTCCACTTCCCATCCAGCTCCCTGCCTGTGGCCTGGGAAAGCAGTGGAGGACGGCCCAAAGCTTTGGGACCTTGCACCTGTGTGGGAGACCTGGCAGAGCTCCTGGCTCCTGTCTTCGGATTGGCGCAGCACTGGCTGTTGCGGTCACTTGGGGAGTAAATCATCAGATGGAAGATCTTCCTCTCTCTCTCCTCTCCTCTGTATATCTGACTTTGTGAAAATAAAATAAATCTTAAAAAAAAAAAAAGTGGAGTATCTTGAACTTGAACTCTGGCACCCCAGAGTGAGATGCTGTCTTTGCAAGCAGTGGCTTAGGCTGATGAGCTACAATACTGGTCTTTAAAATTGAAAACTTTGTTTCTTTTTAAATAGTTTACTAGTGTTGTTATTTAAAAATTCTCTGTGTTTTTCTTTGTATTCCTTAATTTTTATGTAGATGTATCAGTTGTAGCGTTTCATTATTTCTGTTTTACTTTATTTTCCTCTAAGTTATGAGGAACATATATAGCATGTAATATACATATTATGTAAAATACAAAATAATAAGCACTTACTCAAATTCTCACTCAGTTAATAAGATTTTTGTATAAGACTGAAATCTACTTTGTATCCTGCACCATCATAAAGGAAAAATAATTGTGAATTTGGTGATTATTTTGTTTTTATATTTCCAGTGTTGTTCTATCACAGGCATTTTGTGCATATACCATTTTTAACATAAGTTAGAATTATTCTAGGATACAGTACAAGGTATACAAATTTGGCAGTATTTAAAATATTTTAAAAATATGAATGTATATTTAATATTTTTTAATTTTTAAAATTAAACATTTCACACCATATACAAATATATAAATATATATTAAATATACATTTAATATATATATATATTCTGAGAGAGAGCATGCTTTATGTGGTGAACAGATGAGTTTCAGTGTATGATACTCTTTCCTCGAGTATGTGGAAATGGCCATTATTCTGTGCTGTTGGTAGCTCACATTATTCCTCCTGAAAAAGTTGTTGACCATTTATTCTGAAATGTTTAACTTTCATAGTTGCAGAAATATGCCCCACAGTGGGAAGCATTTGGATGCAGCTCGGGACACTGCATTGCTTCCAGGGTGCTTGCTGGGTTTGTACCTGGAGGCAGTGATGATGGCGGATGTCCTTGGAGCTCTGATTGGCCTCTGCTGGTCCTGCCTCTTTTGGGGGTCTGGGAGTGATGCTGTCTGTCTCACTATCTCTGGCTTTCAAATAAGTAAACTACATACCTTATAATATTACTTAGGTTTTTATCACATGTTTTTTAAAAGATTTATTTTGTTTTTATTGGAAAACCAGATAAACAGAGAGGAGGAGAGACAGAGAGTAAGATCTTCCTTCCATTGATTCACTCCCCAAGTGACTGCCATGGCTGGAGCTGAGCCGATCCAAAGTCAGGAGTCAGGAGCTTCGCCTAGGTCTCCCACACGGGTAGCAGGGCATCAAGGTTTTTGTCCGTCCTCAACTGCTTTCTCAGGCCACAAGCAGAAAGGTGGATGGGATGTGGGTACACTAGAATTAGAACTGGCACCCGTATGGGATCCTGGTGCGCGCAAGGTAAGGACTTTAGCTGCTAGGCTATCACACTAGACCCTTTATCACATTTTAAAATCATTTTTGTTATATGATGTTTTTATGTCAAAGGACCTAACTGTATAAAGTGTTGGGCTTTTATATTGAAATATGGTGATTCATTTTTCGTTTCAATGCATTTTGTCAAGGTGATTCGCTTCAAATGTATTCAACTTTTAAAATTTAAGTGCTGAGTCACTGATTTTCTGGAAGAAGGTGTTTAAAAAGTTACTGGCCTATCAGATTGCGAGTACTAATGCTCCATTCTTTAATTTTATATTCGGACTCATTATAATCTAAACTTTTGCTTGATGTATTTTTATGTTCCTATGTGTATAGAATTTTATCAATGTTTTATGTTTACTGTATATAGATGCTTTTTAAAAATGTGCTTTTTTGGCACAATTTTATGTACACAAGTTTGGCAGAATTCAAAAGTATAGTTAAGCTTTGAAGAAATAGAACTCTGTGTTGCCACCGAGAGAGAAAAGTGATGACCCTTGTCTGTAGGTGCTTGCCAGAACCCTGTCCAACAGCAAATGTGTACATACACCTGGCAGCTCCATGGTTGGGTGAACTCATATGTAACGTGAATTTGTAATTTTCTAGTTGTGAATAATGTAAATAATGTGAGTGTACTTGTAAGGAATATAAATAAGAGAATCGATTTCACCTGCTGGGATGCTATTAATATTAATCCAAGTTATCAGCATAGCTGATCTAAAAAACATACTGTTAATATACTATTATGGGTGAAAAGTGAAGAACATTTGTTAGTGCAACAATGTTTGTGAATACATTTAATGCATATAACGTAAAACAGGAATCAACTTCAAACATGCCAAAATCATTATAGTATTTACCTCTGGACCTAGGCTTGGGACGCAAGAAGCATCAGCTTTATCTTTGAGGTTTAACATCCACAGATAAAATTAAACATCTGGGCTACAAAGAGGTACCCACTGATATCCCTGTGGTTGGAGCAGTGCTGTCACCGTAGGCCTCACATGCATACCATGAGATTATATTAGCTTGTACTGTTCTATGTTTCCTGTGTTCTGCAAAGTCATGCACGTTTCTCCATTATGCTAAAAAAGTAAACTTTGTAAATTAAAAAGTCCTGTTAGGGAGGACTTTTAATGTGTTAAGTGTTACGATGCTGGTTAAGGAGTCCACTTCTTACATCTGGGTACCTGGGTTTACTTCTCAGCAGCTCTGACTCCTAACTTGAATTTCCCATAACAGCAGACCATGGAAAGTGGCAGTTGGTTCAGGTAGTTGGGAACCTGCTGTCCATGAGTAACCCTGGCTAAACAAAAGAAAAGAGGTGTTTTTTTTTTTTTTTTTTTAAGATGTGTTTTAAACTGTTTTTCTTTCATCTCTTTGCTTCTGTCTCTCTCTGTCTCTCACTCGTTTTTGGATGAGGTAGAGTTCCTGTTGAGTGGGACACCTAATACTAAAGTTGCCCAGTTTTGTTCTTTGTTTTTTTTTTTTTTTTTGCTTTTTAAATTGTATATTTGCTAATTTCATGCAAACACTGTCTCTAATTTTTCAGTAGAATGATTCAGCCTATCGTCTTTGGTGTTGTATATAGGATTTGCATTTTCTGCCCTGCAGGTTAAAGAAGAGTTGCTGTTTGAAGCATTAGTCACGCGGAAAACAGTGACAGTGGGAGAAAAGCTTATTTTACCATACAAGTTGGCAGAGGTGAGTACATTTCCTATGAAATCAATTTTTGAGAAGTTTGTGATTTGTTTCTCTTGAAAAATGAAAACAACAGCAGCAAAAGTATATTCTGAACTCGTCAAATTTGACCAAGAAGTTTCCAAAGACTTAGAAACTTGAAACTGAATTTTAAGCATTTTTCACCAAGGATCTTCATTTTGGTGGTGTTGGTAAGTCTTGTGTTACTGGGATGGATAGGCGGCATGTTCCTTCCTGGGACCAAGCTTTCGGTTACCTTGCTTTGTGATCGCTCACTGCTGCTCTGCAGTTTGTTTTGATGTTTCTGTTCTACTTGATCTCTGGAAGGTGGGGCCCCAGGACACAGTCTCTCTTTTCCTCCACATTGTTGAATCTAGGTTATCTTGCCCTGCTGCACAACTTTCCACTCTGTCTGTAAACTGAAGCTGCCAGTTAGGATTTGTGGCTGTCATTATGCCACTCAAGTGTCAGGGTAGGAAAATGGTAGAAAAATAGCATTTTAAAGAGTATTTTTATGATAGTCAAAAGAAATCAAACTGGCAATTATTACAAAAATGGAACATGAATGTGCAGTTAGAGTATCAGAAAACCCTGAAGTGAGGAAGTGGTGAGTGAACTCCACAAAGTGATTTTTAGGCCGACACTGACCCACTTATGCCACTTTTGGGCTCGCTTCTGCTGTGTCTCCAAGTAGGCTTGTCTTGTGGTCTCATGTTTTATGGTATGCTACTCAGAGCTACTTTCTAAATAACAGAAAACCCAAAATTTTAACAATTTTTTATATATATAGGTTTTGATATGTGTATATATGTGTGTGTGTTTCACATGCATAAATATTTATTAAAATGTATTCATATACGTATGTAATGAAATATATTCAAAATTTTACTTGCCTGAATGAGTTACAGGGAGAGACCTTACATCTGCTGTTTCACTTCCTACATGGCTGTGATGGCCAGAACTGGGCAAATCTGATGCTAGGAGACAGAGCTGCTTCTGGGTCTTCTAGGAGAGTACAGAGCCCCAAGGCCTTGGGCCATGTTATGCTGCTTTCCCAGGCCATTAGCAGGAAACTGGATTGGAAGTGCAGCAGTTGGAATTTGAACTGGTGTTCAGTGAGATGCCAGTGCCACAGGAGGAAGGTTCACCGTATAAGCCATTGTGCCAGCACCTGGTGTTAATATATGTATATTAAGATTTACTTATTTTTTTTTAAAGATTTATTTTTATTATTTTTTTATTGGAAAGGCAGATATACAGAGAGGAGAGACAGGAAGATCTTCCGTCCAATGATTCACTCCCCAAGGGAGCGCAACGGGCCGATACTATGCCAATCCGAAGCCAGGAGCCTCTTCTGGGTCTCCCACGCGGGAGCAGGATCCCAAACCTTTGGGCCGTCCTCGACTGCTTTCCCGGGCCACAGGCAGGGAGCTGGAAGGGAAGAGGGGCCGCCGGGATAGAACTGGCACCCATATGGGATCCCGGGCGTGCAAGGCGAGGACCTTAACCACTGCGCCACCGCGCCGGGCCCAAGATTTACTTATTTTTATACGAAAGGAAAATTTTACGGAGAGGCATATAAGAGATAGAGAGAAGGTGTTCTGCTGGTTGACTCCCCAAATGGCTATATTGACCATAGTTGAGTTAATCCAAAGCTAGGAGCCAGGATCTTGTTCTGGGTCTCCCATGCAGGTGCAGGGTCCCAAGGCTTTGTGCCATCCTCAGCTGCTTTCCCAGGCCTCAAGCACGGAGCTGGATTGAAAGTGGAGCAGCTGGACATGAACTAGCACCCATATGGGATGCTGGTGGCACAGGGTGTAGGATTAGCCTGATGCACCACTGAACCTGGTGTTTATTTTTACGGTCTTTCATTACAGAATATTTGTTTATGTTCATTTAGACTCTTGCCTTTAACTTGAGATTTTCTGAGGTTAATTTTGTAATTGTTTGCTATTTTTTTTTTACATTTATGAATTTACAAATTTTAAAAAATCTCCACTGTGCTCAGAAATGTGCATTAGGGGTGTAATTAAATTACTTCCTCATACTTCCTCAAAGGTTTTCAGATTTTATGTGAAGAGCAGTGGAAAGCCGTTAAAGTGTTCTCAGCAAAGGCATTTGATCTTGTTTTCTTGCAATAGTAGGAAACGTTTTACTGCTAAGGTCCATTTGAATGCTTATGGTAGCATCATTTGTGGGCCATACAACATTATTAACTTAATAATTAGCCTGTTTTACATTTATGAAATTTCAAATCCAGCCTGTGATTGCTTTGCCAGGGCTAGACCAAAGTATGTCCTGGACCTTATATGGCCTACAGGCCAGGTGCCCCAACCCCTGTCAAGGAACACTTTGGCAGCAGTGTGACGAATCAGTTAGAGGAGTGCAGCGAACATAGTGACTTAATGCAGTACCCATGTATTTATTTATTATGAATATTTTATTTATTTGAAAAATGATGGGGTAGAGGGTGGGAGGAGAGATTGAGAGATTTTTCCATTCACTAGTTTATGTTCCAAATGGCCTAACCTGTTGTGGCTGGGCTAGGTCAATGCCAGGAGTCCATAACTCCATGGGAGACTGGAACCCAAGCCCTTGGATAGCCTGTGGTGCTTTAACTGTTCCTGGGCATATGGGATGGTGCAGATGGGGGCTTATCCTCTTGCACCACAATGCACAGGAGGCCTCAGATTTGTTCATTTGATAGGTCCTGTGTGTCTGGGCACAGGGTAGCTGGTGGAATAGTATTTGGTAGTTGGGCTTTTTGAGACTAAACTCTGATAAGCAGGACTATGAACCAGAAGAAATGACTGCAAGCCTAAAATTGGCAATTATAGAGCAGTGTATTACTGGATCTGGATTCCATCTGACTGTGGTGTTTCAGGAAAATGATACATCTTGGAGCTGGTGTTGTGGTAAAGGCTGTTCCTGGGATGCGGGCATCCCATGTGGTTTCTGGTTTGTGTCCTTGGTGCTGCACTTCCCGTCCAGCTGCCTGCTAGTGGCCTGGGAAGAGAAGCTGAAGATGGACCGCTACCACTGATGTGGGAAACCCAGACGTAGGGAGGGATCTAGTAGATGGAAGATTCTTTCTGTCCATCTCCCTCTCCAGTTGAGACTTTCAAGCAAACAAACCACCCTTTTGAAAAATGGTGATATTTTAAAATATTAGTTTTTATTTTAATCTGAAGGTCTTTGAACATAAAAATTGACATTTATGAAGTTAGTTGTGGTAATGTTTTGTGTATTCTAAATGTTTTGTGTAGTGTTAAAGCATTTTCTTTGTGCTGAATTTGATCAGATTGTCTGCATTCTGGTTATTTTGCTGGAGAGATACAGGTTCTGCTGTTGTTTGTTGATGCCTCACCTCAGTATACTTCTGAACTCATATTGCTGTTACTCTGAGTTCTGTCAGCAAGTTTCTAATATTGAGGTGGAGAATTTGATTGAGTCTTTCCCTTGGTGTTTAATTAGTTTTGATCTGGAGACTTATATCTTTCATGTATTTTTCTTTAAATTCAGAAATGAATTTTTCACTGATGAATTAGTTTATGGTGTTACCGCCACTGTGCAGATGTGTAAACCGCAGCCTAAGAGTTGGAAGCACCTAGGCCCTGGTCATCCAGGTGGGATAGGAGAAGCAGGATGTGTGACTGTCTGGCTCTCCAGAACAGGGATAAAACTACCTGCTTGAGTCCACAGCTTCCACAGTCAGCCCGTCCATAATGAGTATCTACACTGCGAGTGCAGGAGTTAATAGCATAAGATGCTTGCTTTCTGTGTAAGTTGAATGCTTTCTAAATGATAAGTTTACCTTAGTAAATTTTAACTTAGTAAAAAAGCCGCTAGTACAGAGGATTTCCGTAAACTGAAGAAAGCCTGGAGTGAGTGAGGAGAAGATAGGTTTCATAGGTTGTGATGAAGAATGGTTATTATTTTCTTGGTATGGAGTAAGTATAGAAGCCAACGTGGCAGGCTGAAAACAGCTAAGGAGTGTGTTGTGGTATATTGTGTGTGTAAGAGTGTGGTAGGAGTACATGAGTATTAGTGCCTTTTTGTTGACAGTTTATTCCTCTTCTTAGAATGGTCTTTCCCCTTTTGTCTGACAAAATCATTTATTAACTTCCCATTATGCTTTCTTTTCTTTGGGAAGAACAATTCACTTAACAATATTTTGAACTGACTGACCTGAATTTTGTTTCTTAACGTTTGTAACTATTTTAGGTTAGAATCCCTAAGTGGCACTGAATTAATGAGTGCAGATAGGGATGTCAATTACATCCTGTTAATATTGAGAGAAGGATCACAGACTTTCTATATTAGATGAGTGGAACTCTCTCAGTTTCAGTGTCTTGGGTTCCTGCTAGTTGTGCTGTTCTAACATGTTTCTTGTTTTTCAGGCTGTTACAGTGAGGAACTCCATGGCTAAGTCTCTGTATAGTGCGCTGTTTGACTGGATAGTTTTTCGAATTAACCATGCACTGCTGAATAGTAAAGATTTGGAGCACAATGCCAAGGTAAAAGATGCCTTACATTAAAATTTCTTTTTGTGAACACCATTTTAATAAACATGTTAGTGCATGAAATTTGAAAACAGAATCATATAATCAGAATCACCTTTTCTTTGTTTTTTAATGGCCATATTCACCTTTTATTCCACACATTGTTTATATTCCAGTGATGTATCTATGCAGAATTCTTTTATATAAATATAATCACAGTGTCTAAACTTGCATTTTCTATCCAAGGTCTATTGAGATAATGCACATTTTTGGTTATATTTTATCTGTATTAATTTTCATAATTTTGTAATACGTAATATGTTGTGTACCATAAGTTCTCCTGTAAAAATTAAGTGTTTTGTGTGTAAAATAGTGAATTTTCTTTAATTACCAGACTTTACTTTTTAGACCAATTTTGACTTAAGAAAAAGCACTGGAACAAAGATTACATAAGAAATTATAACATATGTAATTCATTTTTGTACTATAAATAGTACTGTAACAAATTTTTTTTTCTAAAGATTGATTTATTTTTATTGAAAGTCAGACTTAAAAAAAGGAGAGACCAAGAAAAAGATCTGTTCACTGATTCACTCCTCAAATGGCTACATGGCCGGAACTGAGCCGATCCAAAGCCATGAGCCAGAAGCTTATTCTGGGTCTCCCACATATGTTCAGGGTCCCAAGGCTTTGGCCCATTCTCTACTGCCATTCCAGGACACAAGCAGGGAGGTGGAAGGGAAATGGCACAGCCAGCACTCATATAGATCCCAGCAGATACAAGGCGAGGACTTTAGCAACTAGGCTACTGCGCCACGCCCTCAAATGCATTTTTTTAAAAACAATGCAGGACACCCCAGTTGCTGTCCAGATGCCTGCTAATGCAGTGAAAGCAGAGCATGATGGCCTGCCATCTGTATGGGAGAACTCTTGGTTGCAGCATGGTACAACCCTAGTTGTTGCCAGCAGGGAAGTGAACCAGGTGCTGGACCAGCTCTGTGTCTGTCTCTCTGCTTCTATTCGTCACTCTGCTTTTCATAGAAATAAGTAAATCTTTAAAAAAAAAAGTATTTAATTAAGTTTAGCTATCTTTTGGTTCAGTAGTATGTAGTAAATAAATCTGATTGCAATATTTAAGCCAAAATTTTGCCTTATTTTCTAGACTTTGTCCATTGGTGTTCTTGATATTTTTGGATTTGAAGATTATGAAAATAATAGCTTTGAGCAGTTCTGTATTAATTTTGCTAATGAACGTTTGCAACACTACTTTAATCAGCACATCTTCAAATTGGAGCAAGTGAGTACATGTGCATACTTGTCTTGTCACCCCCCCATTCTCTGATGTCACAGTGATAATAAATGTTTTAAGTTTTGTATTTAATACACATAGTATCTTTATATCATAAAACGAATGGGCAAATCAGGGCATAGTTTCTCAGCCCCGCTATACAGTGTTATTTTATGTGTTTAGACTGTCAGTATGTGCTTTTTGGAATATACCTTTGAATGAAAAGATGTCATGTATGTCACTTGCTCCCTGTGTGGCTTTAAGCACTGTTTTTGGCTCGAAGGGTTTAATGCTGGTTAACAGCAGCATAAGATACGTTAGTACTGGCTGCTTGATGAATGCAGAAGATGTAAACCACAGAATCTTGAAGAGCTAATACCTTTTATGGTAATATTAGCTAACACATATTTAGGATTATTAAGTAGGGATTGTTTTGTCTCTTTTTTTCTCTCCATTAAGTATTTTTATTTTTTAATTTTTACATAGTTATCTAGAGGAATAAGGGTCAAGGGCTACAGGAAGGTGAGTGAGATCACCATTTCCACATTCTCTCTCTTTTTTTTTTTACTTCCCGTTTCTGGGGGAAGGAGAGAGACAAGAGAGAAGTCACACCCAGCCTCTCAAACGCCTCTGCACACTGGGATGGAGATGGAGGACAGCCACTTGACACCACCCCAGGGTCCTTGATGTGGGGCATGCTCTGAGGGTCCTGCTCAAGAGGTTTTGAGAGTTCAACAATTCTGAATTACTGCTTATCTCTCCACTCGAAGCATGATGAAATCTCTCCAGAATCCCCTGATTGACATAGTCTACCTTAGAGTCTGCATTTGCCCAGATATTTGCTGCCAACACTTGGCTGGGATTGTTGATCAGTTTGTTCTGTCCTCTGCTTTCTGTTGTGGTATCAGGTGTTCTGTGCAGACTCCAGTGTACTGCCATGTCTTCCATGTGCACATGGATATGCTGTCCACACTGTTCCATCTAAGCCACTGAGGAGGCCCAACTCCGACACATGCACTCTATGATCAGACCGTGGAACCTGCAGTTCTCTCCATAGTAGGGGTTCTGAGTCCAGCAGTTCAATTTAGGGGTTCCCCAAAGAAACTTTGTCTTAAGTGATCCCAGTCCTGATTCTTGTGTGAGCTTGCCAATACAGGGTCCGGCACAGTTCTTTGCCCCAGTCAGCTTATGCACATGCTGGTGGTTGCAATTGCTTGTCAGTTGTCTTCAGTCCTTTCTTCTACACAAACCTGGCGATGTTGCAACCCATCCCGATTCTACCACAACACACTTGGCTTTCACGTATGCCAGTGGGAGCTGCAGCCTAGTCAGAGAGACCCACAATGACCCCCACCAGGCCCGCCCCATGCCCTTTTTCTTGGTGCTTGCCAGTGTGTACAGCAGACTGGTCCAGTCTGTCCCTCATCCCATTCAGCTCTCATACATGTCAATGGGCATTGAAGCCTAGTTCAGCTCAACCAGCCCCACTAATAGCTCATACACGTGCCAGCTGGTGTCACTCTGTCTAGCCATGCCTGCCCCAGTCCTGGTTCCCATGGTCACCAGTGGGAATGGCAACCCAAGAGGGAGGTGCCCACTGTTTCCCTAATGGACTCACTCCCACTCTCAGATCTTGCACTCCAGATGGTTCTGTGGTTTACCTTGACAGAATTTGCCTCCCGTGCCAGCATCTGCCTGCTGATGATGTGGCAAAGTCCAACCAACCCACACCAATTTCTAACATACGCATGCACCAGTTGGAACAGTCAACCCAGCCTGGCATTTTCCTAATCCAGGTCACATGGTTAAATCCACAAGATTGGAGATTCTTCTGGGTCTCCCATGTGGGTGATGGGATCAGGTTATGGGAGCCATCTTGCACCGCCCGTTCTAGGCTATTAACAGGGACTGGATTGGAAACAGATCAGCTGAAACGTGAACTGGTGCCCATAGGGGATGCTGGCATAGCAGGTGGCAGGTTACCTGCTCTACCAACTATGCTGACACCTAGTGGGGTGTGCCTTTGTTATTTATGGAACATTTAAAAGACATGCTACTTTTTGATCTTGTCTGTAAGAGGACCCCTTTTAAATATTCATGAGAATTAAAAGATGCATTTATTTTAATGGAAAATATTTTTGAAATCTATATGAGATATCTTCACAGTTTGTGAAAAATTTTTTGAAACCAGCATAGATTTAAAAGGTTGTTAATAACAAAATTAATTCATCTTTTAATTATTTTTAAAAAATATTTATTTTATTTTATTTTATTGGAAAGGCAGGTCTACAGAGAAAAGGAGAGACAGAAAGAAAGATCTTCCATCTGCTGGTTCACTCCTCAAGTAGCTGCAATGGCCAGAATTGAACAGATTCGAAACCAGGAGCCTCCTCCTGGTCTTCGACGCGGGTGCAGGTTTCCAAGGCTTTGGAGCAAACTCGACTGCTTACCCAGGCCACAAGCAGGGAGCTTGTGGAGGGAAGCAGGGCCGCTGGGATATAAACTGGCATGCATATGGGATCCTGATGGACGCAAAACAAGGATTTAGTCATATGAGCTGCCTTGTATGATGTGGGTAACTAGTGATTTCCTCAGTTCCTTAGAACACAAAATTAGTTACAGAAATTGAAAAATGATAAAAACAAACTCTTAAAAGATCATTAAGAAAAATTTCAATATCCTTGTGATTCAGTTCCAGGTTTTGTCCTTATGTTGTTTGTACACATGGAGTTGTGACTTCTGTAATCAGGGTTAAGCTAAAGAGCTCATGTGAAGCCTTTTAGACCTCTAAAGATTAACCAGCAGTGAGTACTTGAACAGTGTGTTTGAGCCTGCCAAATTGTTAATATGGACAGAATGTAAGATGAGGACAACAATATACTGAAAGTTAAATTGAGTCTTTATTGATGTCAGCTGCGTAACGTGTGTGGCTGAGAAATTGAATTGGAGGTAAATTGAGCAGAGGCTACTTGGAGGAGGGAGACCATCTGTGAGCCTGGATGTTGTCTGGAGGAGTGATCCTGAGTCCTGAATCAAGGTAGTGGGCAAGCTGATGTGGAGTCAGACAGCAGAGAGTCCCTGTGATATTTAGCTGCTGCTAAATGGAAAACACTTGTAAATGGATAACACTTGTGTGCTGGCCTTTGTGCTAATTAAGTACTGATTGTAGAAAATGCAAATTATATGGATCTTACTGGGCTTCACCTAATGACTTTTAAGTTTCTTCATCCAGTTCTGATGATGGAGACCCAAAGATTTGGATTAAACTATCCTTAGAGAACAGTGAAAAAATATGAACAAAACGTATTTGAAGCTATTGGGGTACTTTCACATAAGAGAATCTCCATAGGGCCTACATCTAGGAGGAAGGGAATTCAGGGAGGGGAGCCCAGCATTTTGGGACTGTTTTGTTCCCAGATATATTTTCCTATTCTTGTGGGACTAGAATGTATTATTGATGGTATATCATGGGTGACTGGTATGATATGGGTACCCAGGCTTAATTAGGAGTCTGAGGAGCTGAGCAGAAGTTTCTCCAGACCTAAAAGCAAGGGAAAGAGCCTTGGTTGCTCCTATAGAATTTAGGGTGCATGCTAACAGTAAAGATGAACCAGCTGTGGTCCAAATACCATGAGGAATGAGTTTCCATTTTCATCATTCACAATTTTAACCCTTGGGTTAAAATAGTCTCAATTTCTAGTATATGTGTTGCCAAAGCGAGCACAAAATAGTGTCAATTTCTAGTATTCTCAGGATCAGCTGCATAGAAAAAAAATCCAGTTTTCACTGGAAGAAGAGATCATCCTAGTGCTAAAATTACTTCTGCAATAGAAGCTAGAAGAGAAGAGGATATTTTTGCTTTAAGCCAAGACTTGTAATTTAGGCAGTAACTAATAGGTCTCTGATTATAGCTCAGAGATGTAGGAAGGAATGAAGAGCAGTGAAAATTATAAAGAAGTGGTGAATCTATATCATTGTTAACTAAATTAGAGGAAAAATAAGTGTTCAAATAGCTCTAAAGTACACGAGAACAATATATATGTTAGGAAGGAAGTAGATGAAGTTCATTTGACTCAGTGATTATTAAATTGCTTATGTAAATGCAAATATTTTCATAAAGAACATTGCAAGTCAAGGCAGCTCCAATGTTGGTTTACTAATGTTGAAAGTAGAAATAATTTCAGTCTGACTAAATTTCTTGTGTGCAGTGGGGAAAAATACAATTTTGAACGCATTTTGGGGATCAGGATAAGTTTATTATCCAGTTTGGTTAAGTGTGTGTGTTTAAAGATATTTTACTCAAAATATAGAATTTATTAGATTGGAATAGAAAAAATCTGCTGATTTCTTATTTCCATGGCTGCAGTGGCCAGGATTGGGACAGGCTGAGGCGAGGTGCTCTGTATAGCTCTCCCATACAGCCACTGCACTTGGGCCATCTTCTGTTGCTTTTCCCCAAGCACTTTGGCAGGGAGCGGGATTGGAAGTGGAGCAGTGAAGACTCAAACCAACACTCAGGTGTGATGATACTGTGTTAGGCAGGGCTTAACCTGATCATAGTGCCAGCTCCTTTTAATATTTAGCAAACATTAAGAAACACAGTCTAAGACTATGCAGAAAAGATAATATAACAGAACCAGCTAATGTTTTTCTTTTCTTTAAATATTTTACTTTTATTGGGAATGCAAAGTTACAGATAGAAGGAGAGAAAGAGGGAGAGGAGACACAGAAAGATCTTCCATTTGCTGGTTCACTCATTCCCCAAATGGCCTCAACGGCTGGAGCTGAGCCTATGTGTAGTCAGAAACCTCTTCTGGGTATCCCACATAGGTGCAGGGTCCCAAGAACTTAAGCCACCCTGGATGTTTTCCAGTGTGCAAGCAGGGGCTGAATAGAACCTGGAGCCAGCTGTGACATGAGCTGGTGCCCATGTGGGATGCTGGCATTTGAAGGTGGAGGGCCAATCAGTTGAGACACTGCACTGGCCCCGGAGTTTTTCTAGATATTGC